TCCAGCACTCCGCTTTAAAAGTCCGTGCTCCCAACTAAGCCTTAGGAAAGCCGGTGAAGAAGGCAGCTATCTCACGAAGAGTTAGTCCCTGCCAGGCGTTCTCCAGTCACTTGGGACCTTAAAATACGAGGACGGGAAAGACTGCCACGGCGGCGGCGAAAATTAACGTCGCTTAACAAGCGAATTTGCGTCCTTTTATTCTTCGTCAAGATTATTCCAATTCACTTATTTCGTCATGTAGGCGTACTCTCCAAGAGTTGAATTTCTAAGAACCATATCCAAGTTCGAAGAGAGAAGGAAAATTTCGTTGTCGCTTGTTTACGTCCCTCATGAAAGAGATGCGGTTGCACTAGCCGTTTTACCAATAGACAAATAGCTGTTTCCCACTGGGATGCAACTTTTTGTGTGTAAACCGCTTCCCCAAAGTAAATTGCCAAGAGGAAATTTCCATGGATAGGTAAAAAAGCATTCTTTCCCATGACAGTTCCTGAGGTGAGTTCTATCTTCCTTGGGTTAACAAAAAACCAAAACGGCTAAACCAATCACGAGAAAGTGAAATCGGTACCAAACATTACAAAACATTTTTTCGAGCTGTGCTCATCTTGGCGCCAAATTCTACACAAAACTGTTTTAAAAGTTCGACAAAAAAAGGGCCTTCGAGCGCTGTTGTGAATGTTTCACGTTTGATAAATTCAAAAGCAATACATCAGTGGTAAAGAATTCTTGCCTCAAGAAGTCATTGGAACCAATTTTGTGGGCCCGTACAGACGGTAGTCGTCCTGGCAAGCGACAATTTATTCTTTTTTTAAGCATGGATGATGTTGACGTCCGCGTATGCGTAGTCGCAAAATATCAATGGCCTTAATCGCTATTGCTAAGCGTACAATGATGTGAAGGTTTTATCAAAAAGGTAATAATCGACGAAAGCCTTCAGTTTTACAGTTTATGTCAGTCTTCAATGTTTACAGGGACGTTTACCGCGAAACCGGGTTCAAGTTTGCTCTTCACCTTGAGCAATTTATTGGGGTGTAACCGCAAACAAGAAAGTGCTCAAAACCCAGAGCAACCCCAAGCTATATTTCCAAGGGTAACCTAGTGTAACCGCACCTAACATGAAATTTAGCCAGCGTGGTGGGAGTTTGAAAGGAAATGGAAAAGGGCTTTTGGCCGGGAGAGAAACGCCAAAAACCCCGTTTCGTTCCCTTTCAAACGCCTGCCACGCAGGCTACGTGAAATATGCATTTTCACGACGAAGTAGTGCAGTGACGGTAAAGAAATGTACAAAAAAAGTGTGCTGCGCGTGCAAAGTTGTTGATTTGCTTACCGTAAATGTTTTATTAAGCCCGGGGGGCTTGTTTATTTTATATTCATTTGAGCCTGGGTGGGGCTTATTAGAGACTGGGGGCTTATTTGAGAGGGAGTGCTCATTTAATTTAGAAACGACGGTGGTATCAGTTCTCCATAAAGAACTAGAATATAAAGTGGAAAACCTCAAGTACAAGAAGTTGGACGTCATGCAGCCGAGGTTCAAAAACAAATCCAAACTTCCAGTTGGTGAACAAACATCCTGTATCAGTCCACATGAAGTTTTACAGTTGTGATTGATTTATACAGTCCATCATTTGTTAGTGAAAAATAATTAGGGTAGGGAAGGGGGGAGCTTATTGCCCCCGAAGGTGGGCGAAATCCCGAGAAGGCACTCTAGTAACTCGCGCGTATACATGTATTAAGGAAAGTACTTACAGTTGAAATATACAGTCATACAGTCAATATAGAAAAAATCTCGATTTGCTTGAACAGGGGCCGCGAGGAATCGGTAGGTAATGATGACGTTTCTATTGTTTGCGCCCGCAAGTACGAAATGGTTAGGATGACGTGAAGACAGAACATCCCCAAGGGACCGCTTAGGTAGATTTTGTGACATTTATTGTGCAGTCACACTTCGACACTCTTTTGCGTTACTTGTTAGTGAAAGTTAGTAAAGCGCAAAAGAAGTTATAAGGTGCGTATAACTGTGTATATATCAACACTTGGAGAGTTTGCCAGACACGAGTTCACAAATCTTTCATTGGAAACCTTGCCAGACACTCTTTCTCTCTCTTTGACCGGAATAAGACTCAGCCCCAAACAAGCAAGACGAGTGAACAACGGATAGCTTCTCACAAGCAGAACAATGGACGATTACAGAAATTCGCCGACAATCCCTGAAATTCTGTGCTGACTTATTACCTGCTCACAGATGTCCTTCCGCTATAAGTAATGGTAACAGGACTGAGTGGAGTCCAATTCGGTCTGTAATCATACGAGTGATTAATCACGAGTATGATTACAGACTGAATTGGACGACACGAAGTTCTGTTACCAATTAATCATAACTTTAACAAAACTTGTGATACAATAGGCTATTTTTTAAACCAAAACGCAAGAAATTCGAAATTTTGTTTTGCTAGCAGTGAAAAAAAAATGCCATTTAAGCGCGCGCGTGATGGCGCGTACTGTCCAATTACTTAGGCATGACGCGTACTGTCCTATTACTTAGGCATGACGCGTACTGTCCTATTAAACTGTCCAATTAAGGCTGAAATCAGGGCAGTTGAGAGCCAATCAGATTTGACAATTTTGTTATAGTTAAGTTTAAAATAAGATTAGAATGCGCGAGTGTGAATTGATCAAACTTCCTTTTAATTTCTAAGGCTTCTTTTCCGGCAAATAAAATGAACTGAATGTAAAAAGTGAAAAAGAAATAACGAAAAATTCAACTTCTAATTAAATATTTTCTTATGGTTTAGAATAAACTATTCTCGAAACTGAGAATGTTTTGATCAAAGCTGTGTAAATCGACCTGAAACTGTGCATGGAACCTTGCGTTTCCCGTATTTATCTCACCTATTGTATGGAATATGTGTGAAAATCTTCCTTATGAATCGGTATATTTCAAAGAGCTACACAACGAGCAAGAATGCTATTGACCGACAATATACAGAGCGGGGGCAGCTGTAGTGTCAACTATTACTAGTTAGAGAGAGGGGGCTTATTTGAGAGGGGGCTTTACAGACGACTTACGGTATTATATCTTCCATTTTTGACGTTCTCCTTGTCATCGTCGTAGTCGGATCTTACAGGGCCCTAATCACAGCAACCAGAACATGTATGAAGCAATAGGTTTTATAGACAAAACAACAACTCTGCACAGGCGATAAACTTTTTGGTTAATTTTCTTGTCGTGTTCTGCACGATTACGACGAAAAATTTAAGCGCCATTAGACAGCAATAGAAATGGCGCTACATTTATTTATCCGATATAATTACCGTCCACGTTTTATGTTGGAAGTAAACACACATGATGCTACATTCTTCTTTCCCTTTATAAATTTGGCTGCGTTCGAGAATTTAAGCCCAGAGAATTCACCTACAAATTGACAAAACTGAGCAATGCACCGATAGCGACGAAGTTGCATGTAGCAGATGTAATCATGTGACGTTTCCGCGGTCATCGCTGGCCGTCGACTGCTAAACATGCAAAATTTTAATTTGGCTTGGATCAAAATACACGTCGCTAGAGTTGTAATACCATCCCATCGGGAAGGTAAGCAAATAGCTCAAAACATGCTGAAGGTGGCTTGTTATCATCTGTGTGTAACTGTGTGCAGTTGTACAGAAACCTCACGAAACCAGCAGACCAGCGACGCGAACGAGTGTAGCGTGGCAGCGCAGAAAACGGTTGAGGAAGCACCAGCAATGGCCGTATTAGCTGCTATTTAGAGGCTATTTATAAACGAAGTGAAGCACCGAAAAACAACTTACCTGTACAGCAATGCCGGTTCATGGCGTCCTTCGAAGCTTCAAAATAACTGCTTTATTTCAATATTTCGACGTAATACCGCATTCTCGCTAACGGGGGCGCATTTTTGGTTTGAAAATCCCCAGCGCGAACTGGGCCCAGTTGCTCGAGGCATGGTTAGCGTTAACCAGCGTTTAATACCTTGACAACGTATTGGTTTTGATACTGCTTAACCAATGGTTAAAGCTAACCATGCTTTGAGCAACTCAGCCCTGGTTGTAAATTATCTTATTAACAACCCTTGCCCTTGTGAATATAATCTGACCCCACTCCCGTTCACTACTGAAGGGAAAGGGCCGGGGAGAAAAACGCCTTCCATTTGTTAGCTGATCTCTAGCCTCTCTAAGTGGAGAGACGCGACGACCGGAAATGCGTCTTTGTTCGTAAGCTAGCTGATCTCCGTCTTTGGCGATCCATCATGTTAGCAGAGTCGCTTTGAGCTTTTCTTGATATAAAATCGAGGAAGAGGAGGGCGACCTCTATCGCGAATCATTCCTCAGGAAGAACTGAAGGGACTCTGCTGACAGGGAGCAGGAGCCGTTTTTTTAGGGCGAAGGCAGAAATTTCGAGAACACACGCGCGCCTCCTCTTTCCTTCGCGTGCTCCCTCGCGCGCTCCGCAAAAACTACATACTAAAAAAGCCAACCGAGGCTGAGGGTAATAGAATAAGGAAATATCCGAGAGAACGGAAGCTGGCCCGGGGGTGAGGTTTCATGCTTGCATTATATCGACATGAAACCATAATCCTTCATTCGATTGGTTTTGAAATAATGGGCTTTATGGCATTCACATGCTCCAAACCGCGAAAGCCAGATACTTTTTTTCTGGACCGGACTCTGCCAGGATGTGAAGAAGCTTCATGTAAGTAAAAACTGCCATCAGGCAGACGACAAACGCGTTCCCCCACCCCGCTGATTCCTGTCGCCGCTGTATTGGGAAAAAGGAAGAGCCAGGGTTGCAAAAAGAGAGCAAGAGCCGGCAGTAACCCATGACGCATTGCGATTGATAAGTTCAAAATACACTTTTGATACTAAAACAATTTGGGAAAATATGTATTCAGTTATAGACAAGGCAGCTGTTATTGAAAAAATATCTGTTTATTTCTTTATTGTCGTTGTTATTATTATCACCATTTTTATTTTTTATTACTTTTTTTTTTACAGAATTGCTTTCTCAAAAAATACTACGAAATGAAATGGGTTTACTTGACTCGGATCTACCCTTTCTCCCTTCTGGTATGGGGACTCGCCAACACGTTTGCCATGTAATTATATATAACTAAAAAGGCGATCGTAACTGGCTAGATGTGGAAATGCAACCACGGCATCATCAGTCTGACCAGTACCAGCTACAGTAGCCTAGCCATTTATCGGGGTCAGAGGAGGTGTATCTTAATTAAGGTCTCTACTAAATTGTTGACGGCTTCATTTGCAGCAATCTGCATTTGATTAAACAAAAAATTTAGGCGTAATATGCGTCAGAGCCTAAATTTGTACTGCGTCTATATCTAACGACAATTTAGCCGTTTTTGCAACAAATACGAAGTACGTTTACAGCTTAAATTTTTTTGTGCTTGAAAAGTCACTATTGCAAATTTTGCAATTATGTACACTCATTTGTTGTTCATGTTCTTTACTGTACAATACATTTGTAAGTTGCTACATACGAGACAAAATCTTGGACTTTTTTGTCTTTTCACTTTGTATTCTATTAACCGAGAAAACAATAAAAACAAAGAACACTGGCTGAGATCGCCCTGAAACACCATACGCAACAGTTACACAGATGCCAACCTTGTCCCCAGGGCTTTTCCCTGAAAAAAAAGAGAGGGGCGGGCACCCCTTCCATTTTTTTAGGGAAAAGCACTGGGGACGAGGTTGATACAGATACAAATGAATTCTACATTAAATTTTCTCCCCAATTTTCAATTTCTAGTGGAGCCTCATAATTAGCAATGAACAGAACCATGTTGTGACTCTCTCTTCAGCAAAAACTTCTGCTGGGTATCCCAATAAATAAAGCAATAACCGAAAAATAGAAGTTGCGCATGGGACAATGGGAGGTGGGAAGAGGCGCGAGCCTCGCTTGCCCTTCCCATGGTCTCCCGCACACTTTCTCTTTTCCCTCTCCCCAGCCTCTGTACGACACAAAGAGGCCTCCAGCTGTGGGGGAGAGAGGTGTGACGCTTAACTAGTTATGACCACGGTGCAGAGGGAAACAGGGGCATAGCTAGGATTTTCCAAAGGGGAAGGGGGGGGGGCGTCACACTGTGTCACACCGAGGGTACTTACCAGATTGGCTTGTCAACATCTATGCCGTGTTTTACTAAAAGTGGTGGGTGAGCACCGAGCGTTTGGGGGGTGGGGGAGGGACAAGCCTACTAAAAAACATGGTCCACTGCAGATGTTCAGTCCTGCAAATGGAGTATGTAACTATCTAGCACAGGAAAGGATTTATTGCATGTTGATTCTACCGATTCCTGTGTTTTCACCAACTGAATTAAAGGGACGTAAAACCATTATCTCACAGCATGGGGGGGGATGGCACGGGCACCAAGGTTCCCCCTAGCTATGCCCCTGGGAATGGAGGAATGCTAGTAAAAAGCGACCTGATATTTGGAGCTTGGGGTAGGTGTGACCTGCTTGGCAGTTTATCTAACTCAGCATGGTTCTTGTATCGTATATATTTCTCCTTTGCTCTGCTACAGTTTTCTTCCATTTTGCCATCTTTTCATCAAACTTTCTTATGCTTCCCCCTCTAAGCCGGGTTGCCCGTAGTCTTTCTTGTACCTAGTGCAAAATATCAAAAATATTAAAAATAGACCTTATTCACAACATCTTTTCATGCGCTCAAGGCCTGATGGGATAAAAGCAGTGTCATGTGGTTTCTCGGGGAGGGGGTGAATGATAAAATTTGCCAAACTTATAAAGAGCATGCAAAGATGGCGAGTATTGTAAATAAGGTCTTTTGACAAAATTCCAAACACTTTTCTGCTACTGTAATTATACAATGAAAGTCACACTGACTCAAAGATGACTTTAACTCACTAATAATCAATCCAAAAATATACAATCCTCATCGTCACACTTACTACATAATTTTATAATCAGACATGTAGGTATATACTGCATAACCAATAAGTGTCCACTACTGATTTAACGCTACTAAAAGCTCAAGAACAAATTTATGTTTCAAAGGCATTCTTTGTTACATTGTCTGCTTTTAAAAAGTGTATTAAATTGCACTGTAAATGCAAAATGTATAGAATAATATTAAAATGCTAGTCACCTCGTCTGCTGTCACACTTAATTCCACTGGCCTCCGTTTAGAGTCGATAAACAGATATAAGAGGTAGATACACAAAATTCCAAGTACAACAAGGATAAAGATAATCACCACCTGTGTATGTACAAGATATTTCATACAATGAGAAACTGATAAAGAACAAGGACAGGAATACTAAGCTAAAAAGTATTTTTACATACAGTATCTTTAACCATTCTTTTGTTCTTGTTAACATATGCCTCCCATGATGGATGTTTTGGTGCCCTCGAGATCCAAGAAATTTCATTACTGGCATGGCAATCAGATTCTAGATGGAAACTTCCTCCACAGCCCTTAGACTGTTCACAGTCCCCTGTTTTTTCGCAAGATTGTTGAGATAGAGCACTTTGCGTTGCAGGCTGCGATCTTGGTTTCAAATTTTACGAGTCTAGCCTGGCAATGAGTGTTAAATAGGGGACTGTGAACAGTCTACACAGCCCTCTATGCACCCCCATGCATGAAGGAGAGAGAGCAGGCACCCATCGCAGTGATAAAATAGTGGAAAGACGTAGGGAAGAAAAGGCGGGACATTGTACAGAAAGAACACAAACTCTCAAGAAAAAAAAGCTTATGCCCACGAGTTGCTCACCAAAAAGCCTAAACACTACAACACAGACAGGTCCAAGAGCAGTCTATGGTGCCAGACAAAACAGTTGGGACACTTCCACCGAACGCTTATAATTTTTCCTTCTCACCTGTCTCCTCTACCTCCCAATATTGTTTATTGCACAAAATCTTGTACACCATCATTGAGCGGGTGAGAAGATAGGGAAGTACCCCAACAATTTTGGCTGAGAATTTAGGTCCTGTTGACCAAAAAGGAGAGACTAGTGTTCCCTGTTATCAACTCTGTACATTGCAGTTAACTGCATTAAATATTTCATCATTATTCAATTTACTTCTTGCTTGGAATTAGGGCGACTTAAGCCTTCCACCTCCCCCCGAGCCAGAGAGAGAGCCTTCAGGTGACACAAAAAACTAGATGGAGGAGAACCATAACAACCTACCAGTGCCTTCTATCTTTTTAGGAAAGCGTTTTTATGAAATCAGTCCTTTTATATTTTAGTCGTTTTAAGTGACAGCGTTTTTTTTTTTTTTTTGGTCAGTTAATTTTGCTATTTTTAATTTGTTTCAATTTAATGTAATTTATGAACAATATTAATAATTTTGTAATGTTTTAAACACTTCTTGTAAAGCACCATTGGGAATCACTGAAAAAAGGCGCTATGTAAGTAATTTAAGTGTAATTTATTTATTCATTTATTTATTATTTACTTCTTACACTGAAATGTAATCAATCAAACACTCAAACACACCTTCAATATGTCACCTTAGGTAGGAACAAAACTAAGAACCAATCCACGTGTAATGACTCATTCTAATATTCATTCAAAGACATACAGACCTTGATGAGAGTTGTGTTCCTGGCTTCATACATGCACTGACATCTTAAGCAAAATTGTTCCTCTCTCTGCACAATATGTTCACAGTTGCTATTAGAAGAACAGAATATGACTTAACATTTCATCACAAAAGTGATTAGGTACCTACATGTACTTGTTGCAATAGTTATGATCCAAACACAAACAAACAAACAAGAAGAAAGGTCACTACCCTGGGAAAGCCAACTTTTCATACATTTCCTAACCACAGCGATGCAAAACATGGTGAACCATTAACATGAGAAAAAAATTGGCTTCTGTGTTGGAAAGGTAACCCCTCCTGGCCAGGCTAACTTTTCTCAATATAGAACTTGGCTTGTGCAGCCCAGTCAGCTCATTCAAGGTGAAATAACCAGAGCATGCACAGGCACTGTTTCAGACAATGAGATATGTGCGAGCACTGTTGGTTCAGGCAAAGGGGTCAACTTTTTTCTCATATAAACGCTCACTAAAGTTCACTCGGCTGGGAGGGTGGCTTCTCTACCGGGGACTGTCACAGCTTTTTCCAATAAACAGGGCTTTAGAGTGGGTGATTCACTTTCCACTGTTTCAAACTCATGTAAAATTGTTTTATCCACACCCAAAAGGAAAAAAATAATAAAATTTGAACCAAAAAGAAAAAATAGACCTTTCAGCTTGTATGCCTTTTTTTCTTTATTTCAGTGTAGATCATGTGAGTTTACTCTTTCAAAATTTTGCCTTATGAAACATGCATAACAAAGATTATGTACACATCATTTTATGAAAAGACAAAGGAAAAAATTCTTTTGAGAACATCAAATGACCTACATTGAAAAAAGAGCCTATCCTAGGCTAGGAGGTCTACTGGACCACAACATTATACAATCCATACAAAAAGAAGTTGGTGTGCAAGTTAACTTATTAACTTACCAGTCCTTGGCTTCAACAGTTTGAACAAAAACATTAGGTATCCTGGTTGTTTTGTTATTTTCCTTGGGGCAAACACACTTACACCTTACATCATCGTACTGGCCCTGTAATAACATGTCCAACATAAATTATGTTGACCTGGATGACACTAAACTAGTTCACAAGTAGTGATATGATTGTCAAGTATTATGGGAAGTTTTTTCAAGGGTTCATATTCCATTGAATTTCTTTAGTATTTCCTCTGTTATTCAAACCACCACAAAATTGCACTGCTGGCAGTTTAAAACCTAAAACTTGAGAGACACACTATTAGGTTTAGGCTTTATCAATCCCTGGAACTGTTAGAGCTGTATCCCATTGGCATGAGCTGCAAGGGCCTGTTGTTTGGCAAGTATTTCAAGATTTACATATGAGTTTTTCAATATTATTTGGCAGCTGACTCAATGTCATTGAATTATGTCAGATTATGTCAAATTAGTAATATTTTGCAGACATTCCATCACCTCAATATTAGGTCACATACATGTACTGTAAGGTGAATTCAAGGGATGTACCTGTGCTACGATTTGCTGTACCTTATCCACCTATCCCACCTCAAACAGCTATATTATAACCTTATATTCCCACTTATTTTACATGCCATATAAACATGGGGTAGTGCCTATCAATCACAGATCGACAAAGTCCAAGTAAAACAAAATACAGTAGAATAATGTTGTCCGCCATAACACTGACAGAGCTCTTCCTCTCATGAATCTACTCAACATAATGTCAGTAAAATCTGTCCACCAGCTACAGGCCCTTACATTTGCTTTCCAATGGTACAAAAAGGAGTTGGTAAGCAGTTTTCAGAATTATTTTCAGTATGCTGATCAAGTACATAATAATATTATAATGCACAATGTGCCCTAAAAAGAATTTTTATAAACGACACACAAGAACCAATATTGAAAAACAGTCAATCCAATCTATACATGTTGACCTCTGGAAAGATCTTCCCCATCATTTCTTGTTCCCCCTTATTAGCCTTTGTTCCCCCTTGTTACCCTGGTTCCCCCTTGTTCCCCATTGTTACCCCTGTTACCCTTTGTTACCCCTTGTAACAAGGGGGAACAAGGGGTAACAAGGGGCAACAGGGGTAACAAGGGGGAACAAGGGGTAACAAGGAGGAAAAAGGGGTAACAAGGGGGAACAAGGGGTAACAGGGGTAACAAAGGGAACATGGGTAACAAGGGGAACATGGTTAACAAGGGGAAACAAGGGGAAACAGGGGTAAAAATGGAGACAAAGGGTAACAAGGGATAACAGGGGAAACAAGGGGTAACAAGGGGTAACAGGGGGGAACAAGGGATAACAAAGGGGAAACAAAGGGGTGAGCCTTGTTACCCCTTGTTCCCCCTTGTTACCCGTGTTCCCCTTGTTCCGTCTTGTTACCCCTGTTACCCCTTGCTACCCCTTGTTCCTCCTTGTTACCCCTGTTACCCCTTGTTACCCATTGTTCCCCCTTGCTATCCCTGTTACTCCTTGTTTCCCCTTTGTTACCCCTTGTTCCTCCTTGTTACCCCTGTTACCCCTTGTTACCCCTTGTTCCCAGTGGCCTGAAATTTGTCCTTTAATAACAACAACACAACCTTTACTACTACATAAAAAAGAGGGAATTTTACATTTTGATTTTGTTCAGCCACAAAAAGTCAATGCTTTTTAGATTTTGGCTATGGTATGTACAGCGGTGTATGACATTAATTTTTATCTGTGGTGTTGTTCATCTAAATTATTTTCTATGGAGATGAAAAACTTTGGCAAGACATGGGGTAAGTATCTTCCGGAAATGGAAACACAAAATTTTTTTAGTTATAACGAAATTCCTTGAGCACCATTCAAAACAAGTTGACAAGTCACAGAAAGTTAGTCGCCTGCTGGCGACTAGCCTTGATATTCTGGTAGCAACATCAAATTGTCAGTCGCATTGACAATTAGCTGGTTGCATTTTCGGACCCTGGACTATCACATACCATTTACCATCAGTGGAGTAGTGCACTGCAGTATTTTTCACCATGATGGACTGGGTCACGAATAGCAAATCCAGCAACAAAGCAAGATCGTGGCTTCTGACTTTAAAAATAAGACGTGAACCTTTCACAATAAGATTTCCGTACAAATCCATACGTCTCTTCTGCATGCAGCAATCTCACACGCACTATTTCACATATGAATTCATACGTGAATAGGGTCAAAAAATAAATACATGATGAACGTATGGGGCTGAGCGAAAATCTTACCTCTTCTGATACTAATCAGCTCATTATTTTGGCTAAATTTGCCATCCATCTTTAAGGTCATTGCAAACGTAACAATTACAGTGCTGTCAACTCTCCCAAATAATCCAGGAGACTCCAGATTTTGAACCATTTGTCCGGTCTCCAGATTAGAGTTTGAAATCTACCGGCTAATCGCCAAAGTTTTTCATTTCTTGTAGATTCGACTTTCTGACAATGAAATTTCAAATATTTTGTGTTGTTTGAGCTGTTTTACTATTGATGTCGAATGACTGTTTCCTCACAAACGTCAGTATGCCATTGTAATATAAGCAATAATATGATTGGTGGGAAGTAAACCAATCAGGTCAAATGTTATAATCCCAAAAACGTCTTTTTCACGTTTTTTTGCACAAATGACGTCATGTGCCATGCGATGACATCATCTACCATCCCTTCCCTATCAATTCTTAATATTTGAAGATGTGGGGGGTTGACAGCCCTGCCATTAGTGAAAGCTGAAGTTCCATTTAATAAGTTAGAAGCATTTATATCAGACAGACTATATCAGAGGCGCTGTTTCCCGGCCGGGGGATTGCCAGTACGGGGCTTTTCATTGACTGTGCCTGGCCGTAGGTCAAACGTGAAACACCTTTGTTTGGATAATGGACAAAAACCAAGCAAAGCTTTTCTTACCTCAGAAATTACCATTAAACAGGCTAATAAGATGAAAAGCAGAAAATGACACGCCTTTGAATCCATCATGATGCCGTTTTCTTGCTCGTTTCGAACCATAAATTTAAGAAGTTAGCATCTTGTCCGCCATCTTGAAGTAAGCAGCATCAATATGCGTACGTTGCATGATGGGAAATTTTGCTTCTCTTCCCCAGGCGTCCATCCGAATCCGGAGCTCCCGAGCGGGGTACTCCAGATTTCAAGTGACGGGGATGATCGAGGGATTTTTTGGGGTTTGAAATTTTCGATTCCCGGATTTTATTGGGTAGGAAAAATTGGCAAGTCTATTTTTGGGTGGCTTGATTTAAAACAAAAACCGGGAAGTCCAAGCTAAAGACTGCTACAAAGCTCATCATAACTTTTTTAAACAATAGGGCCATTTATACGAGGAAAAATAAGACGCGTCTTACATAGGACGCGTCTTAAATAAGACGCGAACTTTCCGTATAAACGGCACATTTCGTCTAAAATAAGACGCGGCTTAGCTAAGACGCGTCTTATTTTAGAACAGCCCTTAACACCTGTTCTTAGATAAGACGCGTCTTAGCTAAGACGAGAAAAACTTCGTATAAATGACCTTCGCGTCTTAAATAAGACGCGAACGCATAGTACGCATGCGTTAATTTCTGGCGCGCCACGTTGGATTGCCGTTGCTACAGGCAACATTCACATGAAAACGAGTCAAGAACAGAAATAGGAAGCGAACCATTTATACGAGCTGTTCTCGTCGTAGATAAGACATGCTCGTATAAATGGTACAGTTCGCGTCTTATGTAAGACGCGTCTTATTTTTCCTCGTATAAATGGCCCTAATATTTCGGCTGGCCATACCAGCCTTCTTCAGGTTTACAGATTACAATATATTATCTGCATGTCAGAGTGAGAATGGTCAGATTGAGAGAGAGTTGTTCAGAAACAGTAATGGGTTTAGATTTAATGTCAGCTTTGTCGACTGGACCTCTGTGTTCGTTAAATCTGTCCTTGAGGCGTCGCTTAATTTCACATATATTGCAACGGTTACATTGCGCCATATAGATAACGGAGTGTTACAATTAATGCGCAAAGTGATGGAGCGTGTTTCACCTGCTGATTTTTTGAGGTATTGATTTTTGCCCCCACTCGATCATCCCCGTCACTTTAAATCCGTTGTACACACCCTCCGCCTTTTCCCACAGTTTTTAACTCCACCGTAGGGTAATGGAACAATTATTCTCTTTGAAATGTTTTGCCAGAGCAATGTTTAATTTGTAATGGTAGATTTTCTAAGGGCGAAAGGCGCCAGGGCCGAGTGACCAGTTATTGCTCCCTTCGTACAATGAACATCTTATTAAGTTTACACCTCAATTCCGTCTTTACATAAACTTCTATTTGTACTTTGAAAGAATATTGCGATTTTTATGTCACTGTCTGAACATCAACGTTTTGTGGCTGCTTTGTCCTTTTTTTCAATACGGAGAACCTAGTGGCAGGAAATTTGATTGAGACTATCAGGAGACTTAAGACGAGAAGGTCCGAAAGGTCTCCCCCATAGCAAGCAATTTCTACCCTCAGTCCTTCCCTCAGCGAAAAAGAAAACACTCTCCACCGCAACTTTTTGGTTGTTCTCGAGAAATTTTCAGTTCTGTTTACCCCCGTTTAGTGGGTATCGCGAACGGGCGAAGCTGGACGAGCACGTTGCAATGTGATTTGCATAGTCCCGTCCCCACCCGGATAACTGTATGATTGGCGGAACAGAAAATTCCAAAATGCGCAGCGCGATACTGACAACGAAACTGGTTATAATCCGTATTGCTTTGAGAGGTTCTAGTTGCTGTCGCCGTCGCTTAAGATTTCTGGTCATGAAAGAGAATGGGCAAGATTCTTGTCAAAATACTGCTCCCCTACAGCGTTGTAAACATGTTTCTTGATTAAACAAAGGTCACATTCATGAAGAAAGAACGAAAACGCTGTGGATGCCTTTACAGGTGAAGTTTATTACTTCTCACACTGGAATATTTTAAGCATTTGACATTGAAAAACAAAAGGAATTTAAAAATGGGCTTTCAAAAAAGTAACCCTATAAATTACAGAATTCTCTCCTGTAAAATCAGTTTATATCCTGTACAGTTCAACGAGCCACCTCCTATGAAGCTCTTCTTAAAATAAAACAATGATTTATAAATATATACGTATTGCAGATATAACTAAATCGACACTGGTTCAAGTTCAAATGTCCAACCTGTCACGAGTGGTATCAAAGCTGAGCTGCAAGTGACGCACTCAAACTGCAGCTTCAACGCAAGAAATCCGCACTTGGGTGGCAATCACTCTCTGAGACCCATGTCAGGGTTGATTTCCACTGTCGCGTAATTTTTTCGTGAGAACGCAGGCAAACTTTACGTGCGTAAATGAAATAGAGGCAATGTATGAAAGGTTACGCGTAAACGTGAAAGTTGAGCGAGGTTCAACTTTAACGTTTGCGCGTGGCCTTCCATTTACTGCATCTATTTCATTTACGTGCGTACGCACGTAAAATTTACAGAACAGTGAAAATCCAATCTCGACCCCAGTGCAACCCGTTAGCACTGGGGTCGAGAATGGCAAAAATCCACTTCAAGGCCGGATTAAAATGAGTAGACGCCTGAAAGAATGCGAATTCACGTTCCCCAGCCTACAAGCAAGCTCTACAGCCTTTACAACGAGCAAGACTCCACTAGCGACTTGCAAAACGTGAGTCGTTGGAGAAAACGGGAAGAAGGCTAATTAAAAAGTTCTACCTTTCATTCGATGCTAATACGAACTAACCATAACAAACGGCTAAAATTTAGAGTGTAACATCAATTGTGACAAACTAGACTATTGAACTCGGACAAGTGGAACCCATCATTTCACTGATACAGCGTACCAGACGTGCTTCAATAACATCTAATGATAAGATGATAAGATCATCAAAGTATTTTACTCTAACCAGCCTGCAATCGTCCTCTCTAGTCTAAGGAACAGTCAGGGCTAGAGTGATGAATGAGCTGGTAAGGGAGTAAGCAAACAAAAGCGAAGGACTACACTACAAGCGATAAAGGCATTCAGTTCTACCAGTCATCTGTCCCCCAAGACGGAGACGGTTGAAATCAGCAACAAGTGTCCGCCTTTTAGAGACGGATTTATCCGCCTATAGAGTGTGAAAGAAAATACGGAAGAATGCCATGGGCTAACTCTCAGTGTCCGTTTTAGGTTTTAGGGAGATGTCGGTCTTATACAGTGGCGGATCCGAGTGAAGGGCCCGGGGCACCCCCCATATTCTTAGACCAAACTGAGGTCCAAAGGGCCGAAAAAAAATTCTGAGACCGCCCCCGCTCCCCCCCCCACTTATCTCAGGGTCTGGATGACCGCTCCTCCTCCCCCCGACCTTATCTGAAGGACCCGCCACCGTATATATAATATTCCCACTACGACGTTTACTTTCAAAGTGTGGACTGTAGTCTAACAATTTACGCAGAATTTGAGGAATACGCATAGCCTTAGCACTATTTATTAACCCTTAGCTCAAACCGTCAACTGTGGAGACACAATCGTTGAACGGTTTTACTTTCCTTGATGCAACCATTCAAAAGAAACCTCTTGGAGAGTGCTATCACAAGGTACCATTCGTTTCTTAGTTTTTTCCAAAACAAACTTTGGAACTGTTTTTGCAATTCGTTATGACTGTGGAAACTTTTGAGATTGAAAGGGTTGAATAAATCGAAAAGGAAAGGAGCACAGTGAAAGAAAATGAAATATTATTATCGCTAAAGGACCAGAAAAACTGTAGAAAACTCCAACGTCTGTTTCCCTTGCGATATCATCCAACATACACCTTAAATTTCTGATCTCTAAAAATTCTAAACCCTTTATGGCCAACCCCCTCCTTGATGCAGAAACCTTGCTGAAAAATTGCGGATAGAAATGGATACAAATTACTGCAAATAACTGCCACTACTTCTGACTGAAACTATTGGAGACAACAAATCAGGTGCCCAAGGTAAGGTGTCTGCCATTGAGGGAATTAACCATCGTTATCAAGAGCGAACACTCCGTCATTCGATCTTAAAATTGTCGAAGGCTGACCTAAAGTACGGCTGTGAGACCGTTAACGTTGAATTTGGGATCTGGGAGTGTGAAAAAGAGCGCAACTGGAAGCCAATAAAATGGCTAACTGCTCTTAACATTTATACAATGAATTCTTAAATTGTAAAGTAAAAAAATTATTGTCTGAATCACAAAAAATATTCTCTATTGAATTTCCGCCTACATCATCTTTTCTTGTCCGATACCTTCCTACTTCTTGGGGTTCCAGGCCCTTTTGACGCTACCGAGCTTTTTGTTGGTTGCATGTAGCCTGGCACCGACCTATTACTGCTGGAAGGCGAGTCACGTGCTCTGGATGGGCTGTGGGCATCACGTGCACCGGGTGATGAAGGCATCATTTGATTGGTTGTGTTTCCTCGGCGAGAGGGGGTCTGATTTGACTATGGGCAAATAAACAGATTAGAAACATAACTGGATAAATTGCCGCGTTAAATAAATAATCTGCGAGCAGGCTCTTGTGTTGGGGCTTCGCGCCATGTTTTGCGTCTTATAGGCGTCCTCACAAGCTACTACATTGCACTTGTAGACCATTTACACGTACATTTGCACTTCCTTTTGTATTTTCGAAGTTGATCAAAAAGCATTTGTGCTGCGAATTGCTTTTTTATCACACTTGCAGGAGTGGAGATTGAGTTCAAACCTCGGGGGGCTTATATGACGAAGAAAGCCAAAGATATGGGAGGAGCTATGACTTAACCTCCATTCACACCGAAGCTCAAACAAGTTTAAAAGCTGTTTAGTTTAACACGGTTTGAATTTTCTTTCCTTCATAAAAGCTGCTAACTAACTTAAAGTGATTGCAAATTTAGTTAAAAATCACAAAACGTGTTGAGTTTCATTTGAACCCTGTGTGAAACCCTGTGTTCCAGTATGCCATGTTTGTTTTTCATCTTTTAAAAAAAAACCTGGTTTAATAACATACATGTGAAGATTTCCCGTATCTCTTATATCTTTAGCTATACTACTGTACAGTTTTGCCCCACGGTAGGTGAAAGTCTTGGCCAGTAGCCAGCCTATACCGAGGCAACGTAAGGTCATTATTCTGTCTAGTTTCTCTTTGAACACGTTTAGTTTGTGTGAATGGGGCATTAGTTACAAACACAGATGGAAATGATATCATACATACCGATTTCCTGTTACTTGATGGAATGGACTTCCTAGGAGTGGAGCCAGCTTTTCCAGAGTTACTAGAGTTACTCTGTTTCCTGTCAAGATCCTGCAGAAAAATTCAAAAACTCACTTAAAATTACTGAAGAAAATAAAAAGAGATTCTTGTTACGACAAAATATTGTAACAATAGGAGACTACAGGAACGTGTTTAAAGCCGCTCATTAAACTCGCAGCTCATGCTATATCAAAGTAAGAAAAAAATCCGGATAAATATTTGTTCACCATTCAACGTAATTTGTCTTTGGTACTTAAGCAATAGACCACACTTTCTATGGGTTTACCGGCGTGATAACCCACGCGGGATGTTGGGAGAACACGAGAAAAGCTTGTAAATCACAAGCCGAAGCAGAAGGCTTTGATAAAATAACTTAAAGTAAAACTGAGTTTTCTATGAGTTTACCGGCACAATAAATCATAGGTTTTTAACCAACCACAACGCGTGTACTATCTTAGAGATTTTATACACTGAACTAAGCCCTGCATTCCCTCCACTAACCTCATCTTTGAAACTCGTCACATTGCGCACGCAAATATAAACCCGTTGGTGTATACACATACTTTGTAATATCAAAAAAGGCTGGTTTCCATACCATCGTAACAAAATCTTTCATGGCAGGAAATAAAGGTTCAGCGACTGTAGCAAACATTTAGAGACGACACTTCTGTAGTCGTATCCAACCCCGCCCAGTCATGGGTGGGACAGAGATCGCTGACATAGACATCAATTATTGTTCATGATCGCTAATACTAGGCCTTTCAAAGAAATGAAGCTATTGCTCAGTACTATGGATATGGGAATTCCTTAACAGTGACCATTATTTCGAACCTTTTAACCTAACTTGATAAAGAAAGTTTCTTTGACACGAGAAAGACCATCGCAGTTAAGTACACAACAAAAGCAATTGCGAAAAGAAAGCCTGAAAAACGTTCTAGCTTGAACGGGATTCGAACCCACAACCTACGCGATACCAGTGCAGTGGTCTATTACTGAGCTACGAAGTCAACTCAGAGCTGGTTACTTTGAGTGAATTCGTAATACACTTGTACCCGCAGAAGATGAAGACATGAAAGTGAATATATAAAACTTTCAAATAATTATTTATTCACATACAAATTCTATTCCCCCCCCCACTCCTCCCCTCCCTCTCCCAATGCTCCACTATGCTTTCTTTAGACGCGGAATCCCCTCTTCCCCTTCCAACACTGGTCTGTTTAGGTTCCCTACCTCTTTAGGACTGTCGGAGGAAGCCCCTGGAGATGAGGCTAGGCCATCCTCCATTTCACTAATATTATTATTGGCCTCCTGTTCTTGATTTTCCGATCCCTGTAATGAAGGTAAAAGGTAACTAAAAGCAACTGTATTTTTACTTCGATAACTCTAACAGTAATAACTGCGTGATAAACTTGAGGTGGACTACACGCTCAATTTACCCCCCCCCCCCCACCCTCTCTCCATCAATGCTCCGTTTCAACACTATTTAAAGCTTGTCAAAGCTACACAAAGAGGAGAGAAGTTGAGGCAAGGACGTGATGCTATGAGGGATCAAACTTGGGACCTCGCGCACTGAAGGCTGCGCACTAACCAACTGCGCCACTTCTTGCTCCGTAATGTTATATAATGATAAAATATAGATTATTAAAAGACCATTAGAAAGGGCAGCAATCCTCAAGGAGTTGTAAAACTTTCAAACAGAGGTCACTTGAATTTAAACTGCGTAAAACCGACAAATAATACACCAAAAATATAATATAAACCAATAATAATGGTCAAGTTGAGCAGTATACTTACTTGTCTGAGTTCTTCTCTGTACATTTTCATCAATTCAAGAACATTTGACGTTTCAGAGGCTTCGGAATCACCCTAAAAATAGGCCAATTGAAAAACGAAAACAGTTAATCTATTACGTTGACCTACTGTCCACTGTAAAAGCATTCAAGAGAAGACATTAATTTTTCAAAACTAACCAAAGCCATTTGTAAGAGAAATTCACTTAAACCTGTTACAAAAATACTTTTAGTACTCAGCAGTACGATGTTCTTGGTTCAAACTGCAACTTGCTAATCCTTTAGGCTAACAGTTATGCATTGACTGGGATAACCAAAAAAATTAGGGCTAAAAACAACTCTTTCAAAATAGTCTTGGATTTCGGTACAAAGGCATACTAGATGTGTTTTAGCATAATTAATAGATATTTCAAATAGCATCCAAAGAAAATTAAAATAGTTTGATGGGGTATTGTAAAGTACTTACAGGTAAAATAGTCGAGATCGTTAAGAAGCTATAATAAAGGTTATAAGAGGATCAAGGTCTCTTCATAGGTAACATAGATAATCTCAGAGTAATGCACGTAAATAGAACCTTAACTATATGAGTAAGTATTGCAAAGACAAGGCATTGTTCAATTATTTTGCTTGTTTGTAAGAAATGTTTTTATGAGGCATTTGAAGGTATAAAAGCTTGAAGCCACCTTGATTTCAATCTGTAATAAGTTACGTATTTTAGGTCCTTGAAAAAGTATAGAAAATATATTTTCATTAGTTCTAAAAGGATGAGATCAATAGGATTCAGAGTTTCTTGTTGAGTATTGATTCATTTAAGATTGTGTCAAACGAACCAAGTTTTGAGTGTTAAGGACTCAAGTGAAGACTCTCAATCTACGTTTTCTTTGAACCAGAAGAGAGAAAACCCACAAGACAATTATGATACCAAATTAGCCGAGTACTACAGCACTTACTGTAATCCAGGGATGGTTCAAGATTTCTTTTGCTGTGCGCCTGTAAGCTGGATCAACTTTGAGCATTCCAAGAAGAAAGTTCTTAGCTGTGAATTTAACAATTCAAAACTCAACAACTGAAGAATTCAAGGAAATACCAGTCTTGACATGTTTTCAAATGAAATAATTCAATCTTATGGTTTATCATATGACTGCACGCCTACAATAATCTTACCAGACTCTTGAATGTTTTCCCAACAAGGGTCAGAAAAATCCACTTCACCCTTTTTAATTAACTCATAAAGCTTTTCTTCAGTTTCTGCCACAAATGGTGGTCTCCCTGTTAAACTGTGGACAAGACAAGAAGTGAGTTATAGAACCACTGATCACTAAAACATGATCATACTACATACCGGGTGAATTTGCACTCAGATTACAAAATGAATGCATGTTGAAAAAATTATGTTGTCACACCATCACTTAACAACCCTCCAAGTTAAAGTTTTAGCTCCGTTGCCATTTAGCCACCAACTGTTTTGGTTTAGGCAGACTTTTTTACAAATCAAGATGTCAGCTCCAAAATTTTAGGCGCCATGGCAACCAAAATGGTCACAACTTGGAGGGCTGCTTAAATGAAAGACACCAATATTCTTCAAGAGGTGTCTGCCATATTAAACATTCCCCGTCTTCTCGCTTTTGTCTTGGGATGAGGAACTGGAGTATCAGATCTGGAATCTGCCATGAAGGACTACAAGGGCTGGGAGATTGGTACAGAGTGTAGCAAGCCAAAGGACAATGATGATAAAAGTAGAAAAATTTATTTATAGGCCCTTTGCAGTTCGCAGTCACATGAAAAATATGGGATACAACCAAGATGTAAACAACACCAGAGATGAAAAGGGCAAGAGCAAATTTGCCAGAAAGCCAAATTTTTGTTGATTAACCAAAAGACTAAGATTTCATGGGATGTTGGACGTCTGCAAAATTCGAAAGATTAGTATGGAAAAAATGCTAGACTGCACATTTTCCACTGATGCATATAACATTTTCTCAGTTACATAAATCACCAACACCATAAAATTGCACCGTGAAGAATGTGAAACCTAAAAATTGGCAGACCCACTATTTGTTTTGTTCTTTGTTCTTTCAGTCTCCGGTAGTATTGTAGGGTCGTATCCCGTACTTTTGGCAGGACACAAGTACATAACCCTGAGCTGCAAAGGCACTATGACAAAGGAACAGATGGGAACAACTCTAAGGGGCTGTTTACCTGGAGGAAGATCCTAGAAGGCGGAACAACTTTACCTTGGGTTTACAAGCCAAAATTTTGGTCTATGTCATGCCCAGGTAGAGAAGGCTCAAGAAGAAATTAAAAAATGGTGGGTGTCAAAAACAAAAATGCAATTTGGGCCCTTCTGCTCTGTTTATGGCTTTAATAAGTACCTTTCAGCACGATTATCACAACAATCAGCTCGCGGTATGGTGGCCTTCATTGTTGAGATTAGCCACTCAACGACCCACTGCCATTTTTGACTGTTGCTAGTACTAGGATCTTCCAAGCAAGGGTAGTTCGCCTGACGCTAGGATCTTCCTAGTATTAGTAGTAGTCCTAGTACTCAACTCAGAGAGGAAGAACCTAGTACTAGGAAGATCCTAGCACTAGCAACAAGTACAACCCTTTGCATGTAAATCAAATTCAGAAAACATATATGGCACTAGGATGATCCACCTTCTAGGATCGTCCTAGTGATAGGATCTTCCTCCCTCCATGTAAACAGCTCTAAATAATCCAGGGAGGGACATATCGGTCAAATAGATGGTACATTAAGAGAGAGTTGACTGTAAAAATAGTGTAAATCTGGAAGCTCAGAAAAACAAACTTACAGAATATACATTATTACACCTAAACTCCAAATATCACACTGTTGACTGTAACCGAGGTCATCTATCACCTCTGGAGCTATGACACAAGAAAAAAGGATAAGTAACATACTTAGATAAAACAAATCTCAGCACCCAATATTAGTCTAACGGGTACTTATTGCTTATCTTGCTTATCTTTTACCTTTAATCAATCTTATGAAAGTGCACAAAATTGGAATTCATGAATAAACAAATTGAACAGGTTAAATCTATTATGACTGAACACGCTGAGAGAGAAACCTAACTGGAACGGGTTTTAAGCACTCTTTTTTTTCAAGTGATGCAAGAAGAGATGGAAAACAAGAATATACAATAAATGAAGAAGAGTCAATTTTGTCAAATTCTTGAAACATTGAAAATCCTACATACTGACAAAGGATTTCAAACAATTTATTGCCTACCCATATAAATTGGAGTGCCACAAACACTTTGCATCATGGAGTCACTACCAACACCACCTCTCACATATGAAAGGCCAAAATCTGTGAGCTGTTCAAGAAAGTAATGATGTACAAACAAATTAAAACACTTTTAGTAACATGTTGTTGTCAACATCACATCAGTTCATAGACTCTGAATTTCCTTTGTCTAAAAAGCCAACAAACTGTCAGGGTCTTGGTTCATTTGATAAGTGTTTAACTGTACAAGCAAGTCCCAAGAGTGAACAACATCAATTTTCTCAGAACAATATCAATGCATAATCTGAGAGAAAAGGTTATGAGAACTGGTAAGATGATCAGCAAAAGGAAATTGATCTTGTATCAAATTCTCCCATCTAATACTTTAAGGAAAACTATGGAGCTTAGTCTGGGGAAGTTGTATGTGGATGGCTTAAATGGTTAAGATCACACCCTGAAAAGAAATGAGGTAAAAAGAGCTATTTAGTAAGGAGGCAGTTTTACAAAGAAAACACAGCAGCAGCAACAATGGCACATGCAGATCTGAAACAACCTCCACAAGCACCAGTCCTTTCCGTTCGATCATTTCTAAAATAACTATACCTAATGCAGAGTTTTCAATAAGGCTTTAAGTAGGTGGCAATAGCTTTGGAGTACGGCGGAGAAAGAAAAAACCTGTGCAACAGATGCAATTTGCAAGCACTGAAAGCACAAAGTACCAGGGGGAGTCCAGAGGTATGCCCCCTGGAAAAATCTGGGCCTCATTTCCAGCATTCTGGAGCAAAAATTAGAGTGTATGAACAGAACACAAACATCATCAAATTTTGGCTTTAGGGGGTAATTTCCAAAGAAAAGTTTGTGGCAAGTTCATGTAAATAGCCAGTGGATTTCGCCAACCACTGGCTCTTATTGAGATCATCAAACTCTGTAACATGATCAAAGGATTGACCAAAATTATAACTGGTTAAACAACAATGGCATATTTTCATTTGCTCCGCTTCAGCAGTACTAAGCTCAAAAATTAGGTTCTTATCTTCAGGGTCCAGGACTAAAGTGGTACTGAATGACAATGTGACTTCACAAAAACATGTGAACAAGGTCATATACACTGACTAGCCTAACTGATTACATAATGGCCTGATAAGACATCAAAACAAATCTAACCATATACGTTTTTGCTTTTCTCTATTTCAGGAGATGCATGTATTGCCTAACAGTAACAATTTTATAATATCCTCACCTTAATATTGAGCAGTTCATTTCCAACAGGTTGACTGAGAAGAATATTTTCCAATTTTAAATCTCTGTGAACTATATCTAAAAGATGTTTTTAAAAAACAACAGTTAGATGTATACTTGGACACACTACCTTTTTTGCACAAGTTGCCTGCACTCTCTGAATTCAATGTTGTAACTGTTGTGATTTTACAGGTACATGTAAGTGCACTATTGTTTCCTTTTTCGTGGGGCTTTAGTCAACTTGGGGCATAAAAATAATGATCTATGCCATAAGAATAAAGCTAAATCATAAGACGAGTGATATTAAATTACATTAAGACCAAGAACCTGGTTGGTAAATAACAATTACCAGAATCATGAAGGTATGCCACAGCATGTGCCAACTGTTTTATCACTGTCCAAGTTTCCTGAAATTTAAACAGTGATATCATTAGAAAATTAGTATGAAGAAGTTTGAAAATGTAACTATTGCTAATAATAAAATTTAAAACAATTAAAGGTTTCAAACTTGCTTTTTAACTGTTGAAAGTTTATGAACAACATTAGCTAGAGCCACACTTAACATAACAAAGTTAACCAAACAAAAATAAAACAGATTTGAAATAGTGATTATCCTTGGTGTGAATTTTATTTTATTTTATTTTTTGGGGGTATGGTAATTTACTGATAATGAGTTGGAAAGCAAAAAATACTGCTCTAAATTTTAAAACAAGGATAAAATTAAACAACAACATAACCTCAGTGTTAAATATATTAGTCCAGAATACAAACCTTTTCTGAAAACTGTTTCTTTTGTTCTAAGAGCTTTTGTACACCACCAGCATCACAAAGTTCCATTACCAAATACATACGCTGAAAATGTAAACAAATGTATGCCTATAAATTAAAAATTTAAAAGTATACTGCATGGAACACCATATGCATTAGCCGCGTATGATGTCGTGTGGCTTCATATGTACCATTTAAACCATTTAATGAACTTAAATTTATTTAACACAGTTAACAACGAGGAGCGTGGGTGTAGTCAGCGGTCAGTGGTTTGGCTCAAAAGTGGTCAGCCTTGCTTGCTTCATCTCCACGTGTTCAGTACAGCGTTTTCCTGGCGGATCACTCTCTTTGTTTAGCCTTTAGATCATTCTTTTACCCGCATCTCTCGCTCCCTTTATTTTTCCACTGATAAATCAGTGTGACATGTGCCTGGTTCCAATGGTATGGGAGCTCATGGCTGGAGGGCAGGATGGGGGCGTAACTCTGTCTAGGGACTGGCTGTGTCAAAAGTGGAAGCCCCCGGTCATCCCGGGTACCCACCTCCACTAAGTGATGCAGTTGTTAACTACACCTAACAATAAGATCCAGTAATTCAAATGGACTTTTCAATCAGCTTGATCAATTAACTTTTACAACCAGTTCAGACCTTGGCTGTTCTGTTAGCAGGCATCGATGTTTACACTTTGGACCATTGTTTCAGTACATGAACTGTTTGCATGTGCATCAAAGTAGTCTGGGGTTAAAAAATACTCAGACAGAACCATGTTGAAAAAGTGTTCCATGCAAAACCAAGTTAAAACTGGTTTTGGTTAAAATGGTTGATCCCAATAGAACATAACTCTACAGTATGTCAGATAGCATTGGACAAATGGATCGTGAATAAGCTTAACAGCCATATGATGGTAAGTTTGATGTTTTCAATGTGAGATGACTTAAGACATAAAATCTGATTTCGATCTTTTTAGGTTTTTCATTTTACTATGACCTAATAGTGAAAATCACCCAAAACTCTTAACAAAAGTGGCAACATCAAAATAACTTTTGCCATCAACTTCAGTGCCTTCCAAACAAACTTTGGAGCCCATTCATGCAAAGCTATTTCAGATCAGGCCAAAATTTACCTAAGTACCCTACTACACATACTGTACTCTTAACATAGCAATAATATTATTTGATTTTTTTTTTTACAAAGTTACAACAGGAGTACTTACCTTTGACGTTTCATAGATCTCTTCTAAATGAATTAAATGCTCATGGTCAATCTTTTTCATGATTAAAACTTCTCGCTCTAAGAGTCTAACTGCAGAGGTACCAGCCTAAGAAAGGAATGAGCAAAATCAAGTTCAATATTCAGGCACAGATCTAGGATAAATACTGACTGATTTCCTAAATGAGCACAAACTTCTAGGGGGATCTGTGGGCATGCTCTTCTGGGAAATTTTTTAGATTTTAACTCCCTAATATTCCCTTTCTTAGGTTGACTAATGCACGGAATTGGGAAACAAAAGGAAAAAAAAAACATTTACAAATCCAAAAATTTTCCAGATTTCAACTTGGAAAGTTTTTTTATTAAAATATATTTATTATAAAAAATCTGACTGAGTTTGGAAACCGTTTAACTTAACTTTCCTCACAGGATATCAAATGTTCACACTTACAGTTGACATAACTTAACAATCTTTCACAAGGCAATGGTTTGCTGCTTAATACAGCTTCTGTCTAAAGTGATTTGCTGATACTGTTGTCCACTGGGAATCTGCCAAGCTGATCACTTAATGATTGCTAAGGACTACGAAAGTTGCCTATGAAAGGTTTGAAGGAAGTAATCAATTCTTTGCTGATAAAGCTTCTGTCACAGGATTCTTTGCGGACATGAATTCTGCATACTACCTTAGCCGAAGAAAAGAGACCAATTCCCATATATTAAAATTCATACTTGGCTGTGAGACTTGGCAGAATAACAGAAAAGAAATCATCTTGAGGCTCAATAATGAATAAATACATTTCTTTTTTTTATTCCCCCAAGCATTGAAGCCGAGTATGAATTTAAATATATCGAAAATGGTCTATTTCCCACAATGTGCTTCCCACATTAACTGTAAAAATGATGACTATTGACCAGTCACTTCTATTAGGCATATGCAGTTACCCTGTAGACTGGGTTATTTTATTGTATTTTGCCTCTTATTGTAGGTCACTTAGTTAGATAATGGTGTGACATCTTGACACAACAGTAAACAATGGATGCCCAGGCTGATAAAACAAATGGTCAACGAACGATGCCTACAAGGCTCTGAGCCAGTTGGCGACCACAGTGCAAGTTAGGCCTCTTCATAATGGTCACGATAGAGGTTTAACCTCTATTATGCAGTCACCTGACTACTTGCCGAGGGTAACCACTGAATAGAAGGTTGACTATGTTTGTCTTGTGCAAATGGCATTAAAAACATCAATGTTAACCACCTTATTACATTTTAATGTTTGTAAGGAACTGTCACCCAAGTAAAACAAACAGCATATTATTTGACCTAACTAAAAATCCCATAAATCAAAATTTCAATATTGACGTTAATATTATTATTAAGAATGGACATGTTGATCAGCCTACAGGGGGTATGTGGCATTTTTTCCCTTGTGCCATCCATTATAATCATTACTAATACAATTTGACAGACTATCAAATACTGCCTTTAAGCAACAAGGAAACTGGAAGCTCACAGAAAAGAGATGGATAATTTAAGAAATGTTTAGTTACTGAAACAATGCCCGAAATATATAATACAATTCTTAACAGTTACAATGGATATCTACTAAATACTATGGTAACCTTGACTACAAGTAATCAGGAAGCTTCTAGTATGCGAGCCAGAAGAAAGAGACAATAAATTAATAACAGTTCTGTCTCTATGGCAATGCACCATTAATATTAAGCATTTTAACCATTACAAACTAGTCTTGACTAAGATACAGACTTCTACTCCCTTCTAAAACAAATTTTTATCAGTAACATGCCAAGGGGTAAAGAAAAATCACAGTAGGAAGTTCAAAACAAAGAACATATTGAAAAGATTCTTGCACAGTCCAAGTCAAGTGTTAACAATAAAGACCTCTTTTTAGGGTCGATAACTACGATGATAAATTACTAGATGACGTAAGTGCAATTATGAGTTTAAAAAAGGTGAAAGCTAAAATAATTTTCAGCTGTGATACCACATGCATTCACACTAAAAATAGCTGCTGAGCTTGGAAAAATAGGTTATTATCAAAATTGGGTTGACTAATACATCATTTGTTACTTGGCTTAAGAAATATGGCATAGTTCAATTTGTCAGCCTTACCAGCACAAATATCACATGTTATTAATTCACGAACAGGACGCATATAGCGGAAACCTAAGTGCCTAACAGCATTACCTAAAGAGCTTAAAAACAATACCCTTGATATGAAGCCATGATTAAGATATTGGGGACTTGACAGACAGCTTTAATATTAAATGTCTTCCAAGTTCTACAGACTATCAAGAATCAACCAAATACATTCTTACAGAATTTTCGACTTAAAAAAAACAATTTCTTGTTCAACTCAATGGTTGCTTTTCAACAAGCTTGAGTTCCGCCGCACTTGATGTTAAGTTTAAACGATATCAATTTCTTACCTTTTCCTTGTTCACGGCTTTGATGGCCCATCTACGACCCGTTGCTCTGTTGGTGGCTTCCTTAACAACGCCAAAGCTTCCCTTACCAAGAATTTCTCCAAATTCGTAGATGTCCTCTATCTGTCTTTCGTCCTCAATTCTTGTATGTGGAATAGTTCTTCCGGAGGCCGAGCCGTCTTTTCGAGGATATTGAGACATGATTCTCGTCCGCCTAACACGAATCCAACTTTATTTTTCCATGGAGTACGGATGTTATGCCTAGAAGTAGATATGAAAATAAAATCAAGCTGCAATGATAACCGTATAAGGTTCTCAGCATATTGCCCAAGAAACCACAATCTGTGGTTTATTACAAATGCATAATTAACGTTAAGGATCAATGTTGATTTGGAGCGACTTTCACGCTGTGTTTCTTTTCAATATCAATTGTTATTATTCAATTCAAAACTTTTCACCAAAGACGAAAAGCTTCGGAATAAAAGCATCGCTCAATTAGTTCTGACTGCAAAAATCGGTACCAAAGGCCAGTTGTTTCAGCAGCCATCACGCGCATGCAAAGTTTTCACACTATTGCAGCTCGGTTTGCTTCGCGAAAATAAAATACTAGTATGCTCAATGCGAAGCTCAACAGGAGACCGGCTTCTTGCACAAGTTAAAACCCAACAAAACGAAGTCAACAGTTAAACCTTCAGTATGTAACGAGAGTAAATGGGCCCTGAAAATTTGAAAATGTAACTGAGCTCAATATTGGCTTAGATTCCGCCGTACTAGGTCATGTCCCAAATCCAGTCTTAAGTACAAGTCTACCGAGTTAATGGCCGCGCCGGGGAGAAAAGTCAGGGGAAGGATGCGATGAAATTAACAACTTTCTTCTGCGCACTAATTATGGCTGAAACCCGCTAACCCTCAAAGTGATCTACGGATGCTTGTCTATTAATATTTCAAAGCTTACATCAAGATGAACAAAAACACTGCCAGGTTGGCGAGCACAACGTAGACCTTCGTCTCCGTCTCAAACTTTCCTACTATCGAACCGGTTGACAGGACATACCTTGACAACGTTCCTCCCTCAAGGAGAAAGAAGCAGCTAAACTTTTCATTCCTCCAACTGCTTCTAAACTTTTCTCCATAAAATCTTCCCTAAAACTGCATCTAAATTCATAAGGAAGGCTGTAAACTCATGAGTAACCTTTGACAGCACAACCGCAACTGTGTAACGCATTTAGGACTGGAACCCGAATGAGAGGGTCTTTAGACATAACTTTAGACACCAGTTCCTTTATCCGGGAAGTTACTGGGACTGCCCTGTTTCAGATGCTGCAGATAATTTGCCACTGAAATAATTATTTTTTTCTCGCACAACTCCAGTAAGGTATAAGAGTACTAGATTTCGTTCAAAAGTTTAGAACAAAACACGTGAAATGCAGGGCAAGTGCAACAGATATAACGGGTCATAAATGGGGGCGCAAAGTTTCCTCGAGCTGAGAAGAGGAGTGAGGGAAGATTTGCGTTGGCAGGGTAAAGGTGTTGCCTTCTGATCAACCGAGCCGGCGACAAAAATAATGAATGAACTTCTCTTACCCAATAACCAGCCATCCTGAACTCAAGCGTAATCAAACATGATGGATACTTTGCTGTGCATATTAAACGATTAAACGTTTCGCAACCGGTACGTGTACGTCGTTCAGAACACAGAAAATTTGAAAACGCTCGTCGAAGTCCAAGAACAAAAAGTCGTCAGCTTCCTTTGTCTCTCTCTCTCACTTGGAAGAGGAAAGTTCAAAAAGTGGCTAGCTAGTTAGGCTAAGTGCAGTTTCTGTTTTTTTCTTAGTGCGTCGAGCGAAACGCAAGAGACACGAAAATGACCATGCGCGTGACTGAAAGCGCGAGAAGGAGAGGTTGCCGCCCTCGTTTCCGGCGCGGTTGCCCTCGCTTCACAAGAGAGACTGCTTGCAGTCCACTAGCTCATTAGTATTCGAATACACTGTAGGTCATTTCCGAGTTGCCCAAAACTTCTGTTTGAAAGAGAGGCTAAGTGCGTAGCCATTGATATGAAAGTGATCTTTTGTGCTCATGTAAATGAAACTCACTATCTCAAGAAAGGTTGAAAGTGGGTGTCTTTGGAACTCGGAAATGGCCTATTCGAGACAGCGGAAAAACAAATCAAGCTAGTGATCTGAACTGGACTCGCACCAAGTACCACCAGATTGTGAGTCCGACGCACTGATCACTCGACCACGCGATCGCGCTGCTGCCTCCCCCGGCTCGAACTAGGACGCTTCACCGTAGTTGGAGCCAAAGCGTACCAAATTACACTTCTCCTTAGCAAAAACGACTCAAGAATACACACACGTTACTATTGCTAAAAGACTCTTTTTAATGATATTCGCTATATCACATCTCGAATGACTTTTTACAAATATTCCGTGTATTTAAGACGACCATTGTTACATGGAGAAGTAAAAGTTAGAAGTTAAAAAAGAACGAGAGACCAACGCATACCCTGGAGAACGACAGTTTTCTGTACAATGGCATTGCGACAGTTCCACCTCAAACCAAAAAGAGTACAACAGATATCTGGACAGAAAGCGGTAGTTCTCGCCAAAAGAAGAGGGAAGATACGGCGCGAAATGCAGCTCTGGGTATAACCTCACACTTGAAAGAGGTTGCAGTGCACAAAAATATCAGAGAATTAAATTTTTGAATAGTAAAAGTTAAACAAGTAAATTTAGTAGCAGACTCAGATCTGGAAAAAATACGGTAGTAGTGGGCTGTAACTTTCAAGGCTCAAGTGTTAGATAGCCCACACATCTGAAATCACAATACAATCTTTAGGCGCACTCCTATAGTTATCTGGGATCAATTAAATAAAACTTTTACAAGTGGTCACTGTTTTGGAGTCTGAAAACAACAGCTACGCTTGTAGACTACACTTGTAAAAGTTTTATTAAATTGACCCCTGGAAACTAGCATGTTCCGGGGTCTCTGTTAGTCCGGACCGGCGAAAAGAAAAGTGGGCGCGAGAAAAAGAGGCAGGGAGGGGGAGGAGAGGGGAAATCAAGGGCACCGTATCTTCCTCTCTCCCCCTCCGTCACCCCTCCGTCATTTCTTATTCGCCCTCACTTCTCTTTTCACCTGTCTCGAGTTACTAAGAGCTTGGTACACGCTAGAAAGTAACAGCTTTAAAAATCAAAATTCTTCCAAAATTATTTTACGTTGTATTCTCATAACAATGTCATTTTAGCGCCATATCCGTACCACCTCCTGTTGACGCTAAAAACCGCGATCTGACCAATTGTAGAATGAAATTTATTGCGCTGACACGTGTTGAAGTGTGGGTTTGTCTTCAAGCTTGTCGTACTCCAAGTGAAATTCCTTAGCCACCTTTCTCCACGAACTACAGTCAAAGAAGTAGTATGTTCCACGTTCATACGAGCTTGTTTTCAGTTGAGGTTCCACGCCCGGAGCTCGCGTAAGCCATAGTCTCTCGTCTTTGTGGTACCTCCAGTCACGAGCGTACCTATAAAGCACAGCCAGTCAGTTTGGCAACACCCCGGGGGGGGGGGGGTCCCATATGAAAGGGACGGGGATGCTCGTAGTCTCGCTTAGGGGTGTAAATTTCAGATTTTGGTCTCGCTTAGGGTGTTCTGGACAAAACACCATCATAATTAGCCGTAAAGGTCTCTTTTAGGGTTGCACTCGAAAAAAAATTAACTCGATTCGTGTAATCAAAGTTTAAAATGATCGCTTTTAGGGGTCAAAAAAAGGTTGGGCCGCGCCCAGATTGGTCTCCTATAGGGGTTTCATTCAAAATTTCCGACGAACATCCCCGCTCCGTTCACATGGGAGTCCCCTCCCGGGACTGAACACCGTTAACGTGCTATATTATAGTAACTAGTCTTAACATCACTAGGCCATTTTCACAATGACATTTGACTATAACTACCAGAATTCATTTTGCTTTTGTTTTCTTGTTTAAATTGTCAAACTACGCTGAGTTATAAAAAGCAATAACCATAATTTGCACACACACAAACACACAAAAAAAACAAGAAAATGAAGGATTCCGGTGGCTGTAGTACAATGACGTCATCCTGCAATTGCCCTATGTAATAGTGGATCTAAAGAATTGTCTGCCAATCCATAAACTTCAAGGAACATGGGTACTACCTTCTGGACTAAGGATTTCTACGAGCGTTTGGGTAGCCAATGATTGGTTACTGGTTGTCTTCGGATACCATAAACCAGTCATAACGAAAGCCTGTCTGCTCAAACCATCCCAGAAGATAATGCACAGAACGCGTATGCCCCCCTAATTAATTCATTTTCACAAAACTAGTTATCTCTGAAAATTTGAGGCCGATAGTATACCGAATAGTTTCGGACTAATTCTCTTCCAAAACATCGAAACTTTACAAAGAGTATATGAGCTCATTAGCGTTTTTGCCAACCAGCAATTTTGCAGTTTTTGATTGCAGCTATTTCCTTTGTTATTGATTGCAAAAAGCTGAAAGGTACAATAACTCGCCAAAATAACCAGTTCTTTCAACTTTCAAATCTCGTTTGTACATATGATGACGTTTTTTAAAAGCTAATTCGTATGCTAATGAGCAAAAAACTAAACAGTGACGCAAATTGACCACTGTGCATATTATTACTTACAGTTCAGCAGCAGCAGCTAACTGAAGAATATCTCCTCCGTTGGTGTAGTACAGATAAAACAGCAAATCCTCACTGTAACGACTAAGTTTTATAGGAGCCAACTGTAAACACAAGCACAAAACACATGGATAAAAAACAAAATCCTGGTTGTGAAGTTTATGGGCGCCAACTGCAAACGCACAAAAAAGCACAAAGAAAAAAAGACAAAATTCCCGCTATAACGACTTAGTTTTAGAGACGTCAATTACAAACACACACAGAATCATATTTAGTTTGTTGGGCCGGTAAAAAAGATTTCACCTTATCTCTGATAAACGTGTTTATTCGGTACTCTGATGGTACGTGATAATCTGTTGAGAAAGAACACAAAAAAGTGTGTGAACGAAGTGTATATATACGGCTTAACATTCGACATGCTAAAAATGAAAACGATTAATCAATGATTTAAATGAAATGCTAAGAATTTAACTAACTACCCATGTCAAAACTGTTACGAAGTACTTAACTGTGATACCAGGATCATTTACACGAGGAAAACTAGCCGCGTCCTAAATAAGACGTAAACTGTCCCGTTTGAAAGGGACATTTCGTCTAAAAGAAGGCCCAACTTAGCTAAGACGCGTCTTATCTAAGAACAGGTGTTAAAGCACCTTATTTTGGACGAAATGTTCCGTTTAAACGGTACAGTATGCGTCTTATTTAGGACGCGTCTAGTTTTCCTGGTATAAATGGCCCTTCTGTTCCTTATGCAACACAAAGTAATGTAAAACACAAACCTAAGAATTTACTTTCTTCTGTTCTAAGATTAAATTTTTATGGTGTAAGAGATTCTCTCTCAGTGCTCGAGTCTGTGGCATAGTTTACCGAATGATACTGTATATATACAGCTATTTCGACAATCCCGAAAGGTATTGTGGGTGGTTTTGAGTTCACTGTTGTTCAAAGAAATTTGAAAGAATGGCACGAGAGGCTATGGATATATGCTTGCGACTAATAAAGGAAAGCAACCAAAGTAGGTCCGACGGCTCCCGTGTCAGGAACAGTGTATTGATCATGTTACCTTTCGGCATTGTCACGTGCACATTTTTTACGACGACCTTTCTCGAAATAGTGTATACGTAAAGCTTTATGAACCTATTTTTTACCATGCAATTGTTTCTATTTGATTTGCATATAAACAGTTAAACAACTGATCCTACCTATTTCATGCGGTCTACAAGGACTGTCTGCAAACGGAGAACCAAACGTGTGATAAAGACTCCTAAAATATATAAACAGTTGCAGTCTACTATAAGCGGCAATAAATAGAGGGTTCTTTAGAACATCCAACAACAGAGCATCGAGCTCCCATTGACACAACTGCCCATTATGCAAGTTAAAATCAGACGAGCAAATTTCACCACCACGCGTGGTTTGTGAACAAAATTCTTCACAATTTCACTCTTTGTGCATGAGTACTCTTTTCGGGAATTCGTTAGAGCGATTTTCGTATGACCTGGAAATAAAAAAGCACGAACAAAACAGAAACAACAAACGAACGGAAATAGAGAAATTTGATTGGTTTATCGAACGGATACAAACGCGCGTGGCTTTTGGTTAGTTAAGTGAACGCTCGGGTGAAAAATCTTCATGCCCGAGAACTTTCTAGAAATCAATCGATACTTCACTTTGACGTCGTTTGTTGTCCAATCGAACAACGCCTTCTTCCATATCGAGGTTTTCTTTGGCGGGAAAACGAAGAGGCCATAAGTTGATCTTTTCGTCCATTGGCTGATAAAACAATTAACGAACACTTACCGAAACCATTTTTAAAGGTCATACGAAAATCGCTCTAATGCAAAACTTCTCAACTTAACAATTTCAAAACGAGGCTTGGTGGTGAAATATTAACAGGCATCAGGACAATTTCCAATAGGAGAAAAGTGCTTCAAGAACTCCAACAACATTAACCACATCACGAACAAGGAAAGTAACATTGTAACCTGGCTTACTATCAAGCCTTCCAAAGGTGTTAGGGGAGCGGAGATTTGAAACGACGAAGGGAGCAGGGAAGAGAGAGAGAGTTTTCCTCTCCCCGCCCACTCGATTTGCCCTTTGCTCTCCTCCTCCCCCTCCCCCCACCCCTCCGTCCCAGAAAAATCCTGATGCCCCGAATAGTAACGGCAAAGTAAACACAAAGGTTTTATTACTTACTCTGGGGAATTAAGGTTAAGTCCTAACGTTGTAAGATCACTGCAGAATTAAAAGATACAATATCAATGATGTTGAAGTCATTTGAAATGTTATTAAGATATAAAAACGAAATTGCACGATAAAATTAACATAAAGAAATTGAAATCGCACAAACTTTTCAATGTGCAAGTGGCATATTGTATTAACCACCAACATGGCCGCCTTGTCACGTGGCTGCAAACCAAGAATTACCCTGTGCAGACCAGGGTGTCTGAAATGTAGATACTAACTTCCTTTACATACACCAGTATTTCCAGACAATAGAGAAGTGGATAGTCTAACTGACCTTCCAAGCGCTAGCGTGACAAGATTTGGTTCTGTTTCCGCTGCCCTGATGAATGTTAACAGTCCTATCATTCCAAACTGATCTGTGACCATGCCTTTTGGAATATTGGAGATCATGCCTAAAAATAAACATAACCAGAATTAAGATTGCTTTCTAGTCCCCAGAGACCCTCATCGCCACTCGTTCGTTACAAATTGAGGGCCTGTTTACATGACCAGTAGAAGTGGGGGACCCCAAGTAGGTGAGGTAACCCGCTTAGGTGGGGTGACCTGCATGTCCATAGAATCACTCATTTTAATTTGAACATGTTTACATGATAAGTGGGGTTACCATATGACAGATTATAAGTACAGGCGGGTTACCCCACCTAAGTGGGTTACCTCGCCTACCTGGGGTCCCTCGCCTCCATGTAAAGAGGCCCTTAGCCGTGTGGCTTTGAGATGAGAATGAGTGGCAGCCACCAGATGCAGTGAGATGTTCGAAATAAATCTCGATTGTTTGGTCTCCATGAACATGTTTTAGTCCTCGGAACGAACTCTTCAACTCGTGGAAAATCTACATTTCAATTGGTGCCATTTAAGTCTGTCTTTCAAACAGAAAAAGCAAGTTTAATTTCCGTACCTGAAGGTGACGTTTGAATTCCTCGTGGTGGTTGCTTGGTGTTTGACGAACTTGACTTGGATTCTCCTGTCGCAAATCTAAATACAATTAAAATCTGTATTCAGTATAATAATCAATACAAATACAAAACCCCGGGGGTACCCCCTGGGTAGCCCCAACCTGAAAGGGTACCTTTTTTCGGCTTCAGGTATATGAAAGGGTAGGGATTTCACTCGTTGAAGTCAAGAAAGGGTATGGAAATCTGTCATTGAGGTCTGTGATAGGACCTAACAGCTGCATTTTATGGTTGTGAAAAAGACAAGAAAACTCCCTGGTTTAGTGTGATTTATTTTTTCATCTAAAAGACGGTGCATATTCAGCAGTTAAAAGGGATGCGGGGTTCTAAACTAGTATAAGAAAGGGGTATCATTTGTCAATAAAAAGTATAAAAATGGGCACCTTTTTTGTTTAAAATGGCTGGAATCCCGGGCAGAGCCTCCCTGTATAAAATTTTGTTTAGTACCCCCCAAGATACAAGTCGTCTTTGTCAAATGAGCAACAAAGACAACGTTGACACCAGCTGCAAAAGGACATACCTCGAATCTTTCGCGACGTCTTTCAACGCTTGTTCATACGACGAAACTCCTCTTAGATCTATCGTTAATGAAAAGAAACCAGGAGTAAAGAGGGGTGAAAGTTTAAAATTCACTGAACTTAACCTGCGATCAAGCTCTCTATTCCGCCCCAACCCTTTCGAGGGCGGCGCTCCCTTGACTTTTTTCGACAAAAACGTCATAATAAATCGAATTCACTTCAATACAAGTTAGTGGTTGGGAGGGGGGGGTTATAATCGGATGGATTTTTTTCGTTGGATCAATTTAGGTTTCTCGGAAACTGCCCATCTACCCCTCCCCTATCCCAACATTTTGCCCCAAGTGAGACACAAATGTCAACGTTGAGTTAGGGGGTAGGTGGGTAGTTTCAGAAACCCAAATTGACCCTTTTGTTTCCAGGTGAATAGGCCCATAAATGAGGCGGGAAGGGGGGCGCTTGCGGAGCCGCCTTTTATTTAAATTTAAAAATTAAAACACACTGCAAATCAATACCTGTTCCAGGAAACACACCGGAGCTTGTACTGATGACCTGCCAAAGAAAACGAAAAATGCAAATTGCAAAAAAAAAAAACAAAGAAAAACTAACATTCGCACATTTTTTATGCTGGTTGAAGTGTGCAAAAGAAACACCAATAGTCCAACCCAAGGTTCCCAATAATTCGAAACAAGACTTACTTCACTTCCCCAGTCGAACGAGTTAACCCTACCCCTTTCGACGCCCGCCACGCAGGCTAACTCATTATGTTTAAAAACAATGGTAATTGCGTAATTCCAGGGTAAGTCCAATTTGGGCAGTCATAGGCTCGAAATAGGTACCATGACATCTTTTTACTACCACGACTAGAATTCACTTCCTTTTTCTTTTATGTTTAATTTTGATAATCCCAGTGAGGGTTACATACCAAAAGCTCTAATTTGCACAAGAAAACAAAAGCCTAAACCTTGGTGGTGGAGGTGGCGGTTGTGGTAGTGGTAGTGGTAGTGGTAGTGGTAGTGGTAGTGGTAGTGGTAGTGGTAGTGGTAGTGGTAGTGGTAGTGGTAGTGGTAGTGGTAGTGGTAGTGGTAGTGGTAGTGGTAGTGGTAGTGGTAGTGGTAGTAGTAGTAGTAGTAGTAGTAGTAGTAGTAAAATGACGCCATCGTGCAAATGACCTATTACGCAACGTCAAGGAACATACTTGTTTGGATGGATCTTGAGACGTAGAACTTTCAGTTTGGTTTTCTATGAAATTAGAAAGGAACATTATTAGATAGATGTTCTAAGACAACCATGTTATTGCCAGCCAGTTAGAAACTGGTGTCTGCGTCACGTAAGTGAAAATCGTTATTTTAAATACTTTCTCTAACTTGAGAGAAACAGCCTGAGAGATATAGAACAACGACTGTTTCAACTGAAGGCAATCACCATTGAGATAGAGGGTTGGAAATCGGATCATAGTCACTATATAGTTTTGATTTTTTAATAATCACAGTTGATTTGAGAATCTTCACTGATCGTTTCGCCCACGAAGTCGTTTCGCCAATGTCTCGCTCGCTTTTTATACCTCGCTCTCTCAGCCACGATACCAAAAAATGCGATACATATGTATGATATCTCGTTCTTTCAGCCACTGATCAGGCGAAAGCAGTTAGGGAACTGACCTAATACGTAAGCGAAACGACTTAAAACGTTATCGAACAGGACGTTAGCGAAACGATGGTAAACGATACACACGACACAGAGTTTTCCATGACGTTAGGTTTAGCAGTAACTTTCAAAATTCTTCAAAACCTTCTTTGTTTAGGGGCATTTTTTTTACCTAACTCATTTCAACAGACACAAACTCTAGCGTTCAGCAAAATGCGTGCAGTTCGCGATGATTGATTTCGTGTAACTATGTTAACATTTTCATCTACAGTGACTAATCTAACAAAACCAGCTTTAATTTTCCATGAATTTCCAGGAGCGACAATTAAATTTCATGACCTTCCAGGACTGGAAATGAAATTCTTCAATTTCATGACTTTCCAGGTTTCCCATGACCCGTACGAACCCTCAAACGCACATTAGTGAGGAAAACGATTTCAAACACTACATGTACCTGATTTGAAGGTATTCGAGCCAGGAAGAGCAGGGAAGTCTTCATTGTGAATTGAAAAGTCCGGAGGAGGTTCAGCAGGCTTGGACACCACACCGTAGCTTGGCCGGCTTGCCATACTGCTCGGGGGTGCAGAAACACCACCTATACTCTCCAAACGTGCCACACCCTCTACACGAGACAAGCTCTCGATACGGCTTCTGTTTGCCAATGCAGGGAATTCAGAAAGGTCTAATCCACTGGAGCCTCCTGATGATGGATCAGAAAGTCCTACAGGTAATAAAAACCAGTTACGCTCAAACGAACGTCAATTATTTCCCCTTACATACCGTAGAAACAGAATATCAGCTATCAGCTATTAACTGAGGGGCATTTCGACATGATGCCCTTTATTGCTGATTCTGATTCTTTCAAACCAAGCAAGTACTGTAGTTTATTGAATGGCTGAATCTGCGAGCAGGCAAGATGAAGCGAATCCTGAGTTCTGATTGGCTAGCCGACCCACCTTGCCCCCTCGGGATTTCCCGCGTTGGTCCCGCAAGAAAAGGTCCTCTTTTTTGCCATATAATAAATCCTTTATTGACCAAGCTTGTGCGGTTGAGATGGCTGGAAACTGGCCCTGTTCTTTTTTGTGTTTTTCTTGACCGAGAAGAAAATAAACTTGGCCAATATTCAGCCACCTTGACAACACGCTTGGTCAACATTAAATGCAAATTTCTTGCTCAAGATAGGATATGATAGACCATCCTGTACTTACAGCTACAGCTAAAAAAGTAATGAAAAACAATGATAGGTAGCACATCCACTTAGGTAGCACATAGGTAGCATATCCACTTAATGGTTACCCGTCTAATATTCGTGATTAAACTGGAAATGTTGGTTTTTGACAAGAGGAGAAAACCAGAGTACCTGGGGAAAAACCTCCCGGAGCAGGAGCAAGAACCACCGCTGTTACCCTGCTTTCAAACTCCTAAAGTCTTTTTTAGTTTTAGTTTCTGGAAATTCATTCATCATTACGTGGAACCATGGGCAAGGATGTACTTTGTAAATAGAAACATCTTTTTAAACTATATTTCATTTTTCTTCACTAAGATGCATGCATGTCACTTGTTTAAAACTGGAATTACTGACATACCTTGCCCTGCTCCAGAGAAAATATGCCGAAGAGATTTTGGTGAGTCCGGGGCACCTGCATAAGACACACTGGTTAATGTTTGACATGAACAGTGATACATACTCAGTGCAAGAGAAAGAGGCCTAAAAGTTCATGTATTAGGGCTAGTATTCTCAAACTAGGCCGCTGTACAGCTTGAAGGGCAGAAATGTTAGAGAAGAAAGGCAGCAAAACAGTTACTTGTGGTTGGGAATTGCCTGAGATTCCATAATTAATCAACGGAAATATTTTAATTGACCCATCCGATTGATCATCTATTATAATCAGAAAAATCTCTTTATAAGAATTCCATTTAAGACAGCCGCTATGCCGTGTTTACGAACATAAGAAAAACATAAGATGTGGATTCAACACTGCTCGTCATAGAATTCCAGTTACTCAGTAGAACTTCATGGGTCATGGATTCGATTCTCGCATGAAGCTTAGAATTTTTTCTGTGCTTTCGGGTGATCAAATTCTCTTTTCTTCTTTAATCATGAGACCACTAAAAAGACAACACAGACGTTTTTAATATGCAACAAGGAATTTTTTTTCCCTTGATAATCAATTGAGCATTTTCTATTAATCGATTATTGCATCGCTTAAAGCTTTTGATCTGTGATAAATATTATAATCGATTATCAGCACACAACTAGATGAACTCACAATACTGTCCAATTATTTACCTGGGGGAGCAAAAGCACCTGAAAAAAGAGGAAGTCCAGAACCGCCCATTCCCTATAAACAAAACAATGTTATTACAAATATACACAGGTGGAAACACAAGAAAAATCATCACCTTCAGTGTTGTATTCATGGATGTGTAAAGTTTCAAGGTGAAACAGTCAGTCACAATGAGAAATTTCCCTAATTTTACACTCGTGGGATTCCATTGACCTTTCAGCCAATGACAAAGTAAAAAAAGAGAAAGGCACTTTGTTACAGGGGAGTGTGCATGGAACAATGCCTCAAGTGACTCTTCATGTAACGTCAAATTCTTGTTTTCTTTTCACACCCACTGTTTTCACACTTGTTATGAAATCATCAGTCCTGAAAGAGCACACTCTTTCCCTTGGGAAGAAGAGGAAAGAAAATTTTTGAAAATATTTTAGGGAAAGGATGGAACAAAGAACTACATCTAATGCAACTACTCCTTTTGTACAATTCACCACTTCCTCCAGGGTAAATGGGTCCAATTTTTAGGTGCAACAATGTTAGTATCACTTGGGTGGAAAAGAGTGAGATATGATTGGTTAGTGGTATGCAAAGACATTCAGTAACCATTCACTGCTTTTGTTGGCCATCAAAACTATCCCACAAACCTTTGCTGTAAAGATTGCACCCAATCTCCTTATGACATACTTTACCTGTGACACCCCACTGGTGGACTGGCTTCTTGTGAGACCAAAATTTGACATGGGGCCTGGCACAGAGCTTGTGATTGTATTACTACAAAAGACAAAGAAACAAACAACAGCAGTGATCAAACTTTAACATCATTTTCACAAGAACTGCATCCCTCATTAAACAGTAGTTTTTACGAATAGTTTGAAACAAGTAGCAAAGCACTATGAAAATGTTTTAGACTTAATAAAGCACAAACTGACACTTCATTAAACAGTTTCAAAGATCGTTTAGATATATATTTGAGGTCATTTTGGCCAAGAAAATAGGACAGAAAGTTAAGCTTAAGAAAATCGTTAAAGCATAGCACTATAGCTTATTTGCATTTAAAAATAACCTAGGAAGTCAAAAGTTATATGGCCATGTTTAACTTGCATTTATTAATGATGAAAGGCTTAATAACATGACAATAATCTATTGAAAAAAAGGGAATCAGAGAAACACTACACTGAGGGGGCGGGGGTTAGAAGAATAAATTGAGCCATTGTGTTTGCAAAAGTGCACATTGTAATGTGTTTTGTTCAAGGCAGGTGTGAAAGTTACTTTTTTTCTCTTCTCTGTTATACTCTGTATAATAAATTGGTCTGAGAATCAAGCTTTTCTGGGAGAAGAAAGGAAAAAATAATGCTTGTTTCTCCTTTGACAATTCAACAGCATCAACCATTCAAGGAATTCTGATCAGGACATACCCCCCAAGGTTAAAGCCTCTTGGTTGATGCATTTGTGGCTGCTGGGGTGCCTGTGGAGCAGGTGTCATTCCAATTGATAGAACTGGAGAACTTCTGGATGAGCCCGCGCTAAATATTATGAGGGATATAAACAAGGGCACATCATAAATATTCCTATGGTATTTTCAAGGAGCATTTACTGTTGAAACAAGCTGATTATCTCTAAAACTACAAATGCTCAACAACAAGTTAAAAGGCTTTTATGCTGCTGAATGTTTACCTGTGCTTTAAATTGAACAATTGAAGGAAAATTTTACCACCAGCATTTTTACAGTGTTACATTCATGAATGTATTTTTATCCCTAACTCAGGGTACAAAGAAAGTCAGTTTTACAGCTTGCCATTCGGGCAAGCTGTAGCTTACATTTACTAGCCCAAAAGTCATTTCAACCTGCTCAAAAAAAATTTTTGATGAGCAGGATTGATTATGATTCTTCTGTAATTTGAATTCCCCAAAAAACCTCACCTGCACTTCGGGCAAGTTACAAACAGAATTTACTAGCCCAACAGCAAAATCCACTAGCCCCGGGATATCGGACACTACTTTCTTTGCCCGCTGCTAACTTCAACTTCTAATATTTCTCCTAAACATCTCACAAGCATGCTCTATTTTTTTCTTTTTTTTGCCATTTGAACATGCTCTCCACAGATCAACAATCGTTCCAATTTTCGTTTTTCTTTCCCATAGGTTATCATGACATCATTGACATGTTCTACGCAATGTCTACCTTTCTACTTTTAAATGGCGTATCTATATGAGGGGACAATTTCAAACTCTCTGCAATATTTTGGTTTTCAAATTTCTCTTGAATGCTCACAAACTGGAGGAAACTGTTTAGCCAAATGTTAAACACTCAAAAAAATCCCAATCTCTAAGCTTCAACTTTTTAAATGAGAAGCTTCAACACTCAGAGTTTTTTAAAACATGTTCTAGCAATATGCAAGTCATCCACTTTATCCCCAAAACAGTTTTGAAAACATCAACAGTGGAGCAATAGACTAAATTTTTAAGAATTAAATTACTTTAGCAGTCAGTAGTACATTACAATTAATTTTATAGGCAACTTTCTATTCTACTATTAAAGTTAACTTACTAGGCTTAACTACATGTATAGCAAAAACTTTGTGTACTGTATGATTGGAGCAAATATGCTTGGAATAGCATTTAGTAACAGTCAGACTCAGTCTCCACATAATTATTTACAAATATTAAAAGAATTACATGGTTGGGGTTTCCCACTGGCAGAGGATCGAATGAAAGGGAAGGCGTTTTTCCCAGACACAGCTGGGAGAATGGTTCCCGGTGTGCTGGGAGGTCTTCAGGTTGCATGGTGGCGAGAAGTTAGTGTTGATAGGGACTTAAAGATGTCATGACTTTGACGGTAACGAGAATGTCCAAAAAGCAATGTTTATAAGAACACTCTTAAAAAAGCGTTAAGTTTTGCTTATAAATACACGAAAATCAATTCGAAAAAAATTACATAATTGCCAGAGACCAAAAACGTGATGAACAGGGCATATCATTTCAATCATTGTGGAAAATAAACTGTATGCTCATCGCAAGACTCATTTGCATACAATGAAAGTTTACAACACCCGACCAGTACCAGATGGAATATTAATTATTCTGATAAAGATTGAAAGAATTAATATCTTAAGCAACGTTTCTGCTACCATCGCCATCATGGTGTCTTTTAATCCCTAATGTTGTAGTGCCAGATCCAGGAGAGCCCCCCCGCCACTTATTTGTAGATTAAACTGAGGCCCAAAGGGCTGAAAAAAATTTTTTTGAGGCTGAGCTTCTCCCTTATCTCAGAGTCTGGATGACCCCCCCCCATCCGAAGGTCTGGACCTGCCACTGTATTTGGACGGGGGAGCGGTGCAGCTGTAAATGTGTAGGTTACCACGATAAAATTATTATAATGATTGTTCCATCTAACCTTGATAGAGATGATGGTATGGATATAGCTCGGCTGGTCTTTGACAGACTATTGAGTCCACTCTGGTTACCAAGGTGTCCAGGTGGCATTTGCCCCATCACACCACGAGGACCCATCGATAAGATGCCTCGGCTGAAAAATTATGTAAACAAAGTTATTAAATTAAAAAATGAAAATGTTGAAATGAGACCTTACACTGCTGTCCATTTTTCAAAAATATTAAAATCTGAGTTTTCACTGATCAACTGCATAATCAGGGATCAGAAAATTAAAATTAAAACAAGGAGCAGGTTTGGAACACCTCATTATGCCAGACTTCCAAGGCACTAACTTGTTTTCTTTACAAAGTAATGACATAAGACTGTGTAGGAACTCCTAGTTACTAGGTATGGGATTCAACAGAAAGTGCTATTTTAGTCCAGCATGCATAGCGACATAATACCTCCAGGTGAGCATAATTTTGCGCATAATATCTTTCAAAGCATAATGCATAATCCATCAGACCCTATTCAGGAAAAATGTCCCAACATTACCTAGGTGAGTGTAGTCTTAATGAGGACTGCTGGTTATATTGACTGGTATTTTTATTTCTTCTCTTTCCCTGATCTTGATTTTTTTTCAATTTTGTAAAGTACCAATAGTATTTAATCTAATACATCTGATTTCAATTACTGTAAAAATTTAATTAAGACAGCTGTAATGCAGTTAATTTAATAAGATCACAACCTAGTTTGCCTCTACTGTTGCTTAGCTACTTGCAGGCCCAGTCTACGTAAGTGTTTTATTTGAATATGAACCTGATTTAAGTTTCTTTCTCTATCTAATTACCTATCTTTCGTCACATTTTATCTGTTTCTGTTTTGTTTGTTACTTAAAGTTAGTTTTGTTTGAGTTGGTCAAAAATAGTTTTTTAATAAAGGTTCTTCTACATCAATAACGTTCGCTGTTATCCACAGCCTCGTTCCTATGAAGTTGCAAAGTTTTTCCACAAATTGAGGGAAGGTGGTAGCCCTGATCACAGTTCATTGCCCTTGCTGAGTATGAACGTTTATGGCCTTGAGGATCTTGCATGAAAGATTTCCTGGCTAATCTTGTTTATACTGGCCCAGTTAATGGAGTAACTTGTATTCTTAGTGAATAACAGCAAACGTCATCGATGAAGGGATCCGGATGAGTTCCAAATGGCTCTGTGTAACAGGGTTCGCAAATACGCCAAAATTGTTCAGATGACTCCACAGAGGTTAATGAGGGAGTCACTTCGACTCCAGAAATTTTCGGTAACAAACAGGTAGCCACTTCAACTCCAGAAATTTTCGGTAATAAACACAGTTTTGTTGTTACCTTTTTCCCAACAAATACAATTTACGTTAATTGTAAACGTTGTGAACCTTAATTAAATCATCAAAATTACATAATTATACTGCACGACAAAACAGGAAGATGGTAAATTATGATCAAAGTTTACTCGATGACCGCCATCATGGATTTGACTCATTTGAGCTTTCCAGGTGAGTGGACGGCTACAGCTACTTCGTGTATCCCTCACGATAGTGTATACAAGCCAGGACCACATGCTGGAAAGTCTGAAAATGGCTTTTTTCGTTGTGATACTTGACTCCAAATATTCCAAAATGACTCCAAAATTTGTGAAGCAGAAGTCATAGTGACTCCACTCATCAATAAAATAATGCAAACCCTGGTGTAACTTCAAGAATTTGTTGGTGATGAAGAACATTTCACTGTAAAACCCAAGAAGGTTTTTACTGCAATATTTAAGTACTTGTATAGCTTTTCACCTGGCTGATTGAGACGACAAGTTTCCCCCCTGTGACCCTGGCATGTTATGAAGACTTGAAGGGATGGATGGTCCACCAGGAGTAGTCACACTTCCTGTAAGGGACGTTGTGGAGTGAGTGTGACCAGGATGCGATAAACTTCTGCCAAACTGTGCAAGGTAATCACAATATCATGTCAAACAAATGGCTGCCTAGACATACGTGTAGATGGTCTTGAGTACACTCAGACTGTATAACCAGTATTCACTGACTGTTACAACAGTACTTTTATTATAATTAATAAATTCTAATTTTGTGACTGCCTCTGTCTGACTATCTCTTTCAATAATTCAATGAAAATGTTTGGGTCTAATACACTGTTAGGGCAATGGGAAATAAAAATAATATGTTTCCGTTACTGTGTAGTGATATTAACTACCTCTAGGGTCACCTTTACCTTGCAAAATTAAAATAGAGTAGATTTATTTAATACCTGGGCTGATGACATTCCACGCGGAGCACTAGGTGGAACTTGCATAGAGTTGACATTTGGAGGAAGACCTATAAGTTAATAAATAAATATAAAAAAATTACATGTACCTTATACATTAAACAAGAATGTAGACTTATTTTGGAAAGGTTGCATATTTCAGTATGGTGTTTGAAAGTCCAAAACTACTTATAATGTATTTCAAAACAAAAGCAAACTTCTCGTTCAATTCATGTTCTAATGTACAGTAATATTGCTCCATTAGCATTGTTGGCTGATTTAAAGTCAACGAATCAAGGGCACTTCCCGCTAAATTTTGCAAGTGAAAGAAGAATCTGTATATACCTGAGCCTGGGATTCCTGATCCATAGAAGTTTGACTGGTGAGGTCCTGGCGATTGCATTCCTGACGGAGTGCCATATAAGCTTCCAAGATGAGGCTGTGAAGAAACAACCCCTAGTTTCATTTAAAGCATGGGTGTTTTCATGAACAGCACTTCCTATTCAACCATTTATTCCCTCCATTTCTATCTTGCTCATGACAACAAAGTATCCACTTTATGCAGCAGTCAACAGGTGTTCAAGAGGTAAAGCTTCAAATGGTATCCCAGCCTACCTTTTTCTGACCCAGAGAGTGATTTATAAGGTTTATTTAAGAGCTTTGATCAAGTTTTATTGCTACAGAGTGAACTAACAGTCCTCTCTAAACAGTAATAAATACAGTATAGGTTGTTAAAAAGGTGTGGTTACCTGGAAAAAAATACCCAAGTGACTTCTGATAAACTACATGAACGAACATATTCCGGAATAACAATAACCAGAAATTCTGTTATAAGTCTATCTATTGTGCACGCTAGGATTTTGGGCCTCTGGAATGATACATGTATCCCATATTTGCTGAATTTACAATGTAATGAATGGCTGAACAGCTGATTTCAGCTAGACTTTCACTTATTCTTATTCTGGAATAACTTTACATTCCCCTACTGAATAGCCTTTAGCCTTTTTGCTTATGAAACAATTACCAAGAGATTTAGACATCACATCAAGAATAAGTACAGGTGTAAGGGCCTTATCTGATACACCCTTGATTGATACCAGCTACACAAAGTCTCCTGTCAAACCAAAATGTTCATGTAATGATTTCCTTTTGCAAGGAAGCTAGGGGCACTTTTCGCCGCGTTCATTGGCGAAATATTCTTTAACACTTGAAGAGAAATTTTGCATCTCTATGCGGCCCCGATATATCCTCTATTTATGTCTTCAGGATTCTACCATTGACTGACATTATTGCAATTACACAAGTAATCCCCTGTTATCTTATCGCAGTCCACCTATATGCTCATCTACTGTGAATATATTTTTTATCATAATATAATACCAAAAGAGCACACCCTAAAACAGAATGTGGCTATTCATTAATTAGCTCTGTCCAGTTCAATTTACATGCAAGTGAGGTAGTTAACATGACTATAACATGCATGGAGTAATCGAATATTAGTAAATGAGTGGTAATAGAGAGGAGAAGTGTGACATCACGTTTCCATAGTAGCAAAGTTTCTGGATCACAACAGGAGGGAGCTTAATTAAGTAACAACGATGGCAGCAGCAACGAGAAAGGAAAAAAAAAGCAATAGGTTTACATTAGCAGAACAACAACTCCGCACATGCATAATGCTTTTTTGAACATTTCCTGGCTGTCATTGCATGGCTAGGACAGGAAACTTCCTAATTACATGTGCCTGCCTTATTGAGTAGGTGAACAAATTTTCTTTTTTTTCTTAGAATCGGTCCTTCCAGATTGAACCCCAGACAATTTCACCAACATTTGACAAATCTAATGAAAGTTAATATTATCGATGAAGTTTGTAACAGTATGAATTCACTTTTTAAGTGACGTTTTCGGTTTGTTGTCATTCAGAAATTTTGCGACCATGGCACGTAACGACTCCTCCTCTCTATTTTCATTTAAAATAAATTCTACAACACAGAAATACCTCTTTCTCAGGGCGATGAGGAGGGAACATTGAAGGATTAAAATACATTCCAGCTGACCCATAGTCATCATCTCCCTCATCACTAAAGCCTGTAAGTTTTTTTCGCATGGACCCAATGGCTGCCATGTTTTTCCTGCCACCTAACAGAAAAAAGAAACGTTATATGCCATATACACCAGGGTTTTCATTAAGAATCCTAACAGCAGGAGAAAGGTGTAATGTTACAGGAGAATACTTTGAAAGAGGCTCCACAACTGAATAAAAAATAGTCATAAGCTACCAAAAGTTAGTTGGAGAATTCTGTGTAAGAAACAGAAAATTCTCCGATCTGTGATGCCTCATGAACACCCTGAAACACCATTAATAAATTCTTTGGAGGGCCCATGCTCTAAAAGAGTCTGGTGGCCCCTACTACCTTACATTTTCTCTTAGGCTACTTAGAAATCTTATGCTGACACAGTTTACATGTTTTATCCAAGAGTAGTTCACCTGGAGAAAGTTCTTGTTGAGCTTTCCTAGGAGCAAATGAGTATCTGAAAGTAAAAAAGAGCAATTTTAATGACCCCATTCAGTATACTCAAAAGTTAAAATTCAGCTTGAAATTTTCCATTATGGTTCCTCCCCTTTTACTTACTGACTTATTCCTGACAGAGGATCGCCTAAAGGGCGATGATGAGCCATAGATACAAGAGGACAAACCTATATAATGGTGAATGGTGGCACCTGAGAAAGAAAGAAACTATCAAAATAATGGAAACAATAATCTGTTGCAAATAAAAGTCAATCATGAGACAACAAACAACGTAGACTTGACCTTAATTGTAGGTCATTATGCTCCCGGCTTTTAAATGATCAATGACTTGCTGTATATGACTTGTTATAAGTCAAAATTAAATTCTTTTTAATATTTTAAACTATGTTCATTCAATTTCCTTTGTCTACTAGCCCTGATTATTCATGAATTAGGGCTAAGAGAAAAAGAAAATTGAGAATCAACCTAGTTTAATTAATTTTAACCTGAATATTATTTTGATCTGCAGTAACACTTTTGAAAATGAACACAAAACTGCCTGGAGGAATTACACAGAACATTACTTCCTTACATGCCACTTCTTTGTAATTACAAATAAGGAACGTTACATTATAAGGAAATAATGTCTGAATCTTTTTTTGTTTTGTCTCAACAAAAAGTAACGTTCACTAACGTTTTTTTAACTAAAAATTGTTATTAGATTTCCTTTTCTTCAGTCTGGTCTGCCAAATTTCACAAACAACTTGTTGACTACATGGAGTATTTGCATGATATAAGGTAATGGGAACCTTAGGGAGCAGAAGTAAAAACATCAATACAGAATGGCCAAATGAACAAAATGACAACTCTTTAAGTTTATCACACTTTTTGGTACATTTCTCTGATGTCCTCTGCCCAAAAGCTACATATAGTTTTCTTCACTATTTTTGTCACTCGTTTGTGTTCAGTCAATTGTGTGCTGAGGTTTCTGAAGGTCTCACCAATGTAAGTGGCCTGCCAGTCACAGCATCAATTTTATCTACTGCTCCCTGTTTGCCCCCTGGCCTGTCTTTGTCCCTGACATTTATTGACAGTTATCGTAAAGTGGCCACTGGTTTGTGTGTAACGCATGCACATACATTGTAAGGTTATAGCATACGAGCGATAGTTTCAGAGGTAACTCTGATGTTCAGTATAACATCATAACAGGGCCAAAGTTAAAGTTGTCTAATAAAGTCTGCATTATAGTTGTTTTACTAAAAGCATTGTTTAGGTAGTCAGTCTCATTTTGTAGTCTGTCAGGTAAGTTACAAACTAGTTGCACTCATCTCGTCAAAGTCCGTATAGTTGTAGCCTTCTGAGACGTCGAGTTGTGAAATGACTGGTCTAATAATCTACCAGTATGTGTCGGTTTTCTGTAAATTGTTCTTCGTAGTCTGTTGTTGTCGCAGGTGACTAAGTAATCTAGAAATGGTATTTTACCATTTTCTCAATCTAATTGGTAAACTGTATGTCCACGTTCAGTCTGTTATGGCTCCCATGAAAATATTATTGGTGCCCATGAAAATATTATTGTCAATCTCATCTTTGTGAGCAGTGGTAAATGTGTTGCCCACGTAGGGTGACCAAAGAAGGATGGTTTGTGTATAAGCAACTAGAGCTTGTTCCTTGATGTTTTGCATAACAATTTCGACTACAAAGTAAGTTAAGTTTACTTTCAGTGGGGCTAGCAAGGTCCTTTTTTAAAAATTTACACTATTCAGCTGACTGTTGAATGAGGCCATTTTATACATGCCACCTTGCATGTTTAGCCAATCTTATTTTTATTCCTATAAGCTTACAAGAGTTTTGATACGCACTTCTCAACTTCGCAAGTTAAAAAACGTCTTCGCGTTTAGTTTTTTGGTGAAGTCGAAATCTTCTCATGCTTCCTGCCAAACATGGCAGACAGAAAAATACAATACTTTGCCTGAGGATAGACTACCCTTTTAAAAAGTAAAATTGAATAAATACGTTGAACAATACTCGCAGACTTACCTGGACTGACTAATAATGACAAAAGTAACTCCACGAAGGTATTTTCAAGCGAATTTTGACTGCAATTCTGTATCTTCAGTGTTCAAAACTGGTGTTCTAAGTTCGTGCATGCGTAATGTGCAAAGTCTTGCTGATCAACAGCAGGCTCACATGAGTCTCATGATGAGCCCCACGTAGACCAACTGCACGCCACGAATACATAGTAAATGTTGTTGGCATTTTAGCTGGAATGTTTTTCTAGATATTGTCTTTGAATAATCAAAGTGTGGAGACTCGTCAGCAGATTTGTACTCCGAGACTGAAAAACCGCTCCCACGAAATTTAAACTTTATTTATTTATTACTTGCCGGTAGGGA